TATTCTCACATTTTACGGTCTTTGCAATTAACGCCATAGACTATTTAACTGAAAAGACCATTTAACATTTTGCTATTATTACATGCCGGATATAACTGAAGAAAGGACTTTGCGATAATGTGACTGTTTAAAACCCACCAGGTTTTTTCACTTCGATGCCTACCATATGTGTTGGACCTTGAAGTCCATTAATTCCAAGTCATCACGGTCAATCTACTGTGAATTAGCAGGCAAGAGTTCAGATTCTTCTAGATTAAGTTCTTCTAAGGTTGAGATCTCCCCCAATACATTGGCTGAGAGATCAACCTTAGAAGAGCTTAATCTTTGCAGGAAGTCTTCCTGGTTCATCAGGACATTCTAAAACAGAAGCTGATGAATTTGTCTCCTGCTCGAGCAGGAGGGTTGCAGTGGTGGGTTGCTCCCGGTTCGCACCGGTTCACAAGAACCGGTCGTAAAAATTTGTAGTAGTTCGGAGAACCGGTAATAACATTGGCTGGCCATGCCCCTGAACTGGTCCCCGGCCTGGTCACCACTCACTTACCCTGCCCACCTCATCAGAGGCTCTTTTTTTTTTTTAACTTTTAAAAGCATTTTTTCTACAACCTCTTCGGCCGAAAAAATGCTTTTAAAAATAAAAAAAAAGCCTCTGATGATTGTGTGGCTTGGCTGGGATCGTCAGAGGCTTTTAAAAGCATTTTTTTTACAATCTCTTCGGCTGAAGAGGTTGTAGGAAAAAAAATGCCTTTAAAAGCCTCTGGCAATCCCAGCTGAGTTGCCTGATCGTCAGAGGCTTCTAAAAGCATTTTTTTTTTGCAACCTCTTAAGGTTGTAGAAAAAATGCTTTTAAAAGTAAAAAAAAAAAAGGTGGTCACGCCCACCCAGTCACATTACCCCCCACCAAGCCACGCCCACAAAATAAGCCACACCCACAAAATAAACCACACCCACAGAACCGGTAGTAAAAAAAAATTAGAACCCACCCCTGGAGGGTTGGACTAGAAGACCTCCAAGGCCCCTCTCAACTCTGTCATTCTGTAATTCCGTAATACACGAATACATGTAATACATGAATTTGGGATTATTGGAAAATATTAGCTGGTGCCGTCTTCTTAAGGATCCAGCATGTTTTCCCAAATAACAGGACAAGACAAGATTGAAGTTGTATTTCAGGAATCCAAGAATCTCTTTGCTTTTCCCCTTTGAAATTCGAATTTGAAGTAGGTAAAACCAAACCCCCATCGTTTTTTACCCACCCCAAAGAACCCGGTTTCTAAGTCTGCTTAAGAGAACATCCTCCAAGTACCCGCCAAGAAACATGAAAGGCCACCTCTGCCTTGAAAGAAATATCTAACCAGCGAAAGCTGGTTTGACTTTCACGCAGTCACTGTCAGACCTTTATTCGGTGCATTGGCAGCCACTCTCCGCTAACAACCGTTCTCTCGGTGTGCGCTTGCATCTTTTGTTTTGCATAATTAGGCAGCTTGTTTGACAGTTTTCACAGCTTTTCCGCAGAAACTCTGCGCGCTTTGGATGAAGGGCCAGCTCAAACTGAGATTTGAGTGATGTGAAACGGCTTCCAATCGATGCACGGATCCTAAATTCACTAGGATGTACATAGATCTTTCGGCTTTTGTGGCTGTTGATCTTGCTTGAGCACGTTTGTTCGGGTACATCACTGCCTGGGACTCCAGTTATGTCGGAAAGCTGCCAGCTAGGCCAGAAGGAGGAGTCAAGAGAAGACCTAGCTTGGAATCCTTGCATGGCTGCAAGAGACATAATAACTTTGATCCAGGGGTGAAATCCAGCAGGTTCTGACAGGTTCCGGAGAACCAGTAGCGGAAACTTTGAGTACTTCGGAGAACCGGCAAATGCCATCTCTGGCTGTGGGGTGGGAATGGAGATTTTGCAATATCCTTCCCCCAGGAGTGGGGAGGGAATGGGGAGTTTGCAGTATCCTTTCCCTGCCATGCCCACCAAGCCATGCCCACACAACCGGTAGTAAAAAAATTCGGATTTCACCACTTCTTTGATCTCCCTTATCTGGTCATTCCCAGGGAAAGAGATTTCCCTGGGAATGGAAGAGGTTCTTGTCACATAGGCGTTAAGCAATAAAGTTCCCGACTTTAGCTATTCACAAGCAGCCATGATTGCTTGGTTCCTTGCCTCTGAAAGATATATCTGAAAGAACGCAGTGATTTGCATTCCCAGAAATTATGATTTGCATCCGGTAGCTCCCCGTTATTACAATAGCCCTTAGAATTGTTGCAGAGACTTTCTGTCTCCTCCGTCGCTGTTGAAAAGGTAGTAGCTCTTTTCATTTGGAATTTAATAAACCATCAGAAGCAGAGCTTGTTCCCTTTCAGGGATCCCTTTCACCCACACAAATCTAATTTAGTTCTTCAGTTAAGGCCAAGGTTGTAAGGAACGACGTCTTCGCCGATGCCAAAATTAAGTTCTTTTCTCCACTTCAGCCACATCTGAAATGCAGAGCCCAGCTCCGGTTTTAAAAAGGCACCGAGCTGGAAATGCTTTTGTTTATGAAGATGGTCACGCTGAGATTTTTTGATAGCTCTTAAGTACGCATCGGCTTCATAAAATAGGAAAAGCAACGAGTGCAGGTTTAAATTAAGGGTGTCAAGTACAATTACGACGTATTTCGGCTGAGTAGCGAGGGTCAGCAATAATTGATATTGAGGGGAGACTTCCTGAGAGCACTCAGGGCTAAATTCTTAGGTGGGTTGCACCTTTCTTCGATAAAGGAGATTAATCAAGGTGCGTCATCTGCAGAGATAACTTAAGACTTTGAGACAAGATTCGGACTGCTGTTCCTCTCCTCCGGCTGTTGTGATTTAAAGAAAAGAAAGCAATCAATCCAACTTCTGGTTTTCTCCTCACTTCCTAGTGCTCTGCAAATCTAGATCCACCGTTTGAGTTGGGTCGACTGCTTATAGGGAAGGGTGTAGGCTGTTCTTGTCTAGAGCAGAGGGGTCAAACTCAAGGCCCAACTCAAGATGCGGTCGGATCTGGCCCACAGGGGTGTCCTGGAAAATATAAGGGGCCATCCCGCTTTGCTTCGGCCCAGTCTACCCAATGCAAAGAGGAAACATGCCAGCAGTTCAGGGTGTCAGGTTTCGATGCTATCTCAAAATAAATGAATTTCCAAACTGCCGATCTTTAAGGAAATTTTCTCTTTATTCGAGCACAGCCATCTGATCCTGACTCTTTTCGCGGTCAGTACTGACCTTTGCCCCACAATCCATCCCTTTCCGATCCCCAATTCTCTGCTTCTTATTGGCTATCTTCCAAGTCACTTTCCTGATTCCTTCTTCGTCAGATCACAGGAATGTCTCCCCTCTCCCCATCTCTGAGGAGACAGAACCTTCAAAGGGATTTAGCAGGCAAAAGTTCAGGCTTCTCCTCCCTTTATTATATGTCAGTGCTGGGATGCTGACATAGGGACTGGTGTCGAGCTGGCCATGCCCACTCATCTGGCCATGACCACCCAGTCAGCCACACCCAGTGGGTGGCTTCAAGCTGGCCACACCTGCCCAGTTGGCCACGCCCCCCCAACCCCCACCCCAAGGTCAACCACAGCCCTGATGCGGCCCTCCATGAAATTGAGTTTGACACCCCTGGTCTAGAGCAGTGATGGCGAACGTATGGCATGCGTGCCGGAAGTGGCACACAGAGCCATCTCTCCGGTCATGCCAGCCATCGCCCGTTGCTCTTCCAGGTTCTGTTGCACCAGGTGATCTTCGCACATACGGAAACCAGAAGACCAGGTGACCAGCATACATGCGCATGCTGGAAACCAGAAACTCAGCTGCTCTTCCGGTTTCCAGCACTTCCCCACACGCGCACACGCACTTCCGTTTCGGCACTTGGTGCCGAAAGATTCACCAACACTGGTCTAGAGGACTCTTGAATTCAATAACCAGAAACAGCTGGCGTGTGTGTTACTTGCTTGTTTCCATAATGGCTTCCTAACTTTTTAATCCCTTTGGGAAATAACCGTCATATCTGCTCGTTCGCTGTAGCTAGCCCAGACAAGTGACTCAAAATCCATGCAGAACCTTTTGTCTGGAAAGAGCATTGTGCTACCCTAATGTAGGTCATGTGAATCAAACTGAACGCAAAAAATCTTCTTAGGATCCTGGCTTCTGCCTTAGAGTGAAGATATTTGGTTGTCTTGATTTGCAAAAAGCTCTCCTGATGCTATTCTGGTTTAAACAATGCGTGTTCCCTTTCCTTTTCTTCATCTTTCCAATGGGGAAGGTGTATGTGTGCTTAATCCCATGCATTTTTAGAAATCCTGTCTTAAGGGTATTATTTTTTTCCCCCCAGAACTGTATTCTATGTCATCTTTATTATATGGTATCTAGGGGCATTTTCATTTGCTCTGCAGGAACTTTCTTTTAATCCCAATTATGTTATTATGGCTCTACCAACCCTGATCTGCACTAACAACTGCCTTTAAAATAGTCTATCTCCACCACCATAAGTGAGATTCAAAACTCTCCACAAATAGGATGTTTTCTGCTCACCTGAGTATTAACAATTCTGATTTAAATCCTCACTGTGCCCTGTTCCATCATTCCGATCGTCTGCTCCTATGTTTTACAGCTTTTTGATTTAAAAACAAAATCTCCCCATATAAACAATATATGGAGCAAGTTGCCTCCATTATCACACACACACACACACACACACACACACACACACACACAAAAACCCCAGCAAATTGAAATGTGAAAATTGGCTTTTATCCCTATGTTAAACAACGGTGCCATTAGCTGCTTAAGCGTCAACCAGAGATTCTTCCAAATAAATCATAATTAGAAGCCCAACGCAGCAGCGTTCCAATGTTATTTGACTTGGTCATTAATTCTGTCCACTTGTAACCATCTTGGCATCCTTTGGCTAGCCAGATTTTTTTTTTTTATCAAATCTCTACTTGTTGATCCAAATCGCGAGGAATAACAGGGGTTTTATTTTCACAGAGAGCTGCCCCATCCGCCACAGAACCTGTTTGCCACTCTGAATTCTTCCTTCAGCCGCAGCGTCATCCTCTCCTGGGTGAGACCCTTTGATGGAAACAGTCCGGTTCTGCATTACATCGTCGAAGTCTCTGAGAACAGTAAGTGATGGACAAGACCTCCCTTCACCTCCGAATAGGCTTTCTGTGTCAAGGTTCCAATAGATGCCCTAATTATATCATGAGTCTCAAGCCAAGCTTCAAAAGAAATCCAGTTATTTATTAAGAGCTTCATGTTGGCACATTCCAAGTGAAGCCAACTCTGACCCCACGTAATTTACGGCCCAGACTTGATCCTGTTTCCCCCAGGATGGAGATTTTGAAGTATCCTTCCCCTGGAGTGGCATGGGAATGGAGCTTTTTGCAGTATGCTTCCCCTGGAATGGGATGGGAATGGAGATTTTGCAGTATGCTTCCCCTGCCATGCCCACCAAGCCACACCACACCCACCAAGCCACACCATGCCCACAGAACCGGTAGTAAAAAAAATTGGATTTCACTACTGCCTCCAAGATCCCTTCTAGCCCTATGAATCTATGTGTCAGACTTCGATGCTATCTCAAAATAAATGAATTTCCAAACTGCCAATCTTTAAGGAAATTTTCTCTTTATTCGAGCAACCGGATCATGGCTCGTGCGGTCAGGACTGACCTTTTGCCCCCCCAATCCCTCCCTTTCCGATCCCCCATTCTCTGCTTCTCATTGGCTATCTTCCAAGTCACTCTCCTGACTTCTTTTCTCGTCACTTCACAGGAATGTTCCCCCCTCTTCATTTCCACAGAGACCGAGCTTCAAAGGGATTTAGCAGGCAAAAGTTCAGGGCTTATCTCCCTTTTCTGTGTCAGCGCTGAGACGCTGACACTATGGCTCTCAAGAGTGTTTTGGTGCACTCTTGTAGATATGTCAAGGCTGCATCTGGATTAATGACAGCCGGCAACTTGGCAACATCCTCTTTAGCTTTAGATCTGCTGCTGTCTACCACCATTGCTTCTTGCGTCCCATTCTTTCTATCTATCCTTCACCCCAACCTACACCTGGAGCACTGGAAATTTTGCTCCTGGAAGCAAGTAGACAGAAGGATGAAATCTAAGATTTGGAGTGGGATAGAATGAAGAAGATAGAATGAAGATGCTGACTTTGTAAACCGCTTAGAGAGGGCGGTAAAGGACCATGAAGTGGCATATAAGTCTAAGTGCTATCGCTATTAAAGATGCAGCTTTTCTTGATATCCTCAGCTCCCTCTACCATTTTGGTAGGGAAGGGGAACATGTGGCTTTCAAAACATTGTCAGACTGTGACACACACATGCCCCTTATCACTAGCTCAGCTGCTGGGGTCTCTTAGAAGATGTAATCAGCCATATTCAGATGTCACACAAGTTCCATGCATACTTGCGATCAATGCCTCTTTCCCTTTTGTGGCTTCCTTCAAAAATGAGTAAGAAAGGAAAATGGAGGAGCGAGAAGCGCTCATGGAAAAGTTGTGTGGGCGTCTACCCAAGAAATCAAAGACCTCAATATCCATCCATCCCTTGGTGGTCCTGATGGACCTGCCTAGGATTTCAAAGGGTATCTACATTTAGCTTACTCTTAGATCCTGAACAAAGCTCTGGTGTCTTTGCGGTGTTTCTGAATTCCCTTCTTAACAACCAACGTCTGATGCCTCAGTTGTTTAATTGTGTTTCTGATCAGCCTCTGTGCCACCACAGCATTCTGTGCAAAGGCAGGTAAGATTTTTCCCGTTCTGAGTGGGTCAGATGCAATCCAGAATATCAACCTTTGCCAGAATCTAATCGATTGACTAAGGCAGGATTGTCAACTGGAAAATGTAATAATTCACCTCTAAAATTCAGTAAGAAGCTCAGCAGAGATTTGATAATATCCTACAAAAATTGCTTCCGTAATCCTGGAGAGGATGAAGAGGTATTTTTTTTTTCTTCCTGAACTCTCACATGCTGTCAGACAAATCCTATGATTTTATTTGATAACATCATAATCTGCCGGCATATCTCAGTGCCCATCAAATACATGCACCTCGCTTGTGCTTTTTTATCTGAAAGCACACAAACAGAAAAAGAGAGAAAACTAGGGAACGGATGGTGGGGCTTCAATAAAATGGTATAATTGGAGGAAAAGGGAAGGAGGTGAGATTGGTTGGATCCCCTTGCTAAAATTTTTGAAGCCCACCCCGATGGTAACCTATAGCTGCTAAATTTATATTTTGGGGTATGTGTGTGGGGGGGAGATTGTAGGAATTCCCTCCAAGTACGATTTCTGAAAATCAAAGCAGTCGTTGCTTCTACGCAGCTTAAATATTAAATATTAGTAAATATTTTGTTAGCTTCCTTTAAACAAGACAGAGAGAAAGAGTGAACCTGTTCTATATATTCTCAAGAATACTCTGAAAGTCAACATACCCTCAGCTAGGGTTAGAGGAATTACAATAGGAAACCTCGCCACTTAATATAATTTTGGTGGTACGCATGGGAATGTATTTTATCGCCATCCGAATTATTGCCTTCCATCTCTATTTCAGCGGCGAGTTGGGATTTATACCAGCGTTATCTGTAGATACGTTCTGGTCAAAGTAATTTGCAGAAGAGATCATTTCAGTCACAATCGCTGTAATGAATAAAAATTACAGATGATTTAATTTAAGTGATTGTTTTAAATTGGCCTGTGTCAGCTTGGTGCCCTCCAGAACGGGTAGCTCTGGAGCTTCCGCTTAGCATTTGTGATGGATAAACTGCTCGTTTTACTTAGGGGTTAGGATTTGGGACCACAATCAGGCCATTATCTCAAGGCATGGTGGAAATAGCTGAAATAGAATGCAACAGTCAGGACAGTGCAAGGAAGCAAAAGATTCTTCTCTCCGTCTTCCCTTTTCCTCGGAAAGCAGAACATTTCAGTGGTATTAAAATAGAAATTTCTGAGAGTTGCATTCATCACACAGAATGCTGAAACCCTTCAGCGCCGTTACCACTAAAATAGAATATCAGAGTTGAAGGGACCTTGGAGGTCTTCTAGTCCAACCCTCTGCCCAGGCAGGAAGCCCTACACCACTTCAGACAAATGGCTATCCAACCTCTTCTTAAAAACTTCCAGAGTTGGAGCATTCACAACTTCTGGAGTCAAGTTGTTCCACTGATGAATTGTTCTCACTGTCAGGAAATTTCTCCTTAGTTCTAAGTTGCTTCTCTCCTTGGTTAGTTTCCACCCATTGCTTCTTGACCTGCCCTCAGGTGCTTTGGAGAATAGCTTGACTCCCTCTTCTTTGTGGCAGCCCCTCAAATATTGGAAGATGCTATCATGTCACCTTCTTTTCATCAATTAGACGTACTCAATTCCAGCAACCGTTCTTTATATGTTTTAGCCTCCAGTCCCCTAATCATCTAATCATTGCATGTATACAACTCATAAGTAGGGTCAATAGAGTCACTGATGAATAGCATGGAAGAGAGGGTAACCAGGCCATTCCACTTTCCACCTGGTGCACAACTCAACCTCTGGAGTAAGCTCCAGCTGTCTTTTACGGCATGATGGTCGAGATACCTTCGTCTCTGCAGAGTTGAGTTTGTGATCAAATACTCTCTATCCATCGTGGGATACTTAGGAGTGAAACATTTCAGGTTGTGTCTGCCACAAGGGAGAAGAACCTGGTAGGAGAACACCTTATGATGTTGATGTGACGGTTGATGCCAAGTGAGAGACGCTATGACGGTCCACTGAGTACTTTGACCCAATGCTGATATTGTCACATCTACCAAACTTCTCTAGAACTTCAGGATTGGCCAAGGGATGGTTGCTTAGGGAGGACAAAGGCACTGAAATCGGCCATGGACATTTATGTAATCTTTTCTCAGGGTCAGAAGAAATAACCCAGTCCCTGGAATTGCCGCATTCTTTTTTTATATTGTTGAATAAGTGGTTTTTGTATCCAGCCTTTTCTTCCGGTTGATTCTGCGCTTCAGGGAGGAGCAGCCTTTGAAAAGGGTTATTTTGATGATTAGGATAAACTTGGTGTTTAAATTTTTTTAAAGGTCCTACGTAAACTGGCTAGGTCCTTGGGCTGTGTGAGAAAGACCATCTTTTCCTTCAAACTACTATTTTCCTTGCAAAGCCGAGTGCCCGGGAGATGAATAGGGTTCGTTTATATTAGTTTTTAGCTTAATCTCTTTTCTTGCCAGATCTTTTATCTTCCACCAAGGAAGTGAGGGCAGGAGAAGGGGAGGGGGGGGGGAGAAAAAAAGACTAAAGCATTCTACAGACGCGGCATATAAACAGAGCACAATTCTAAGCCGGTGGAGAGATTAATAGGCCCAGTTGTTGCTCAGTTGATCGAACGGCTCAGGTTAAGCACTCTTGAGTGGTGTTTACACTTGCAGTAAACAAATGGAACAGAATAGCTTCAGGAAACAGACCGGTGACAATTAACTCATTTATGGTCATTCAATATTCTAGTTAGTATCTGCTCTTCCATTTTCTTGATTAAACTTCTTTAAGTTGCTTACTAATTTAACCCCGGCTTTCTTTTCTCCTTCTTATTCATTTTTGTCACATTCTTCGGACACCAACACAGTGACAAAATCCTCTTTTGATTCATAGCAGCTCATCTGTAAAAGGTAGAGCTGTAAGAACAATCTATGTGCTTCGTGGAAGATGGAGAAATGGACAGAACGGGGCCCGGTGGGGAATTGCTGACAATCTTTACGTAGACAGATTGCGACTCCCTTACCAGGCAGACGGGGAATACTTGAGGGTTGTGGTCCCAACACGCCTGAAGGGTCAAAAGTATCTCCCCACCGTCAAAAGCAAACACAGTGAGGACGTAACATTTGTCTAGCAACTGTGGGACCACATCCAACTCCTGCAAGGAGTTGGTGTCTCAACACTTCTTATCTAGGCATTTCCACTGCATTTGTTGAAAAGTACCCACACTTAGGGATTGAAACTTTCTCAAAACGTGGCAACCATGATCCAGCTTAAAGCCGACGTAGCTCTTGTGGTGAAACCAAGCAACCTTCTGCAGAGAGGACAAAGAGGAGAGAAGGGGCTGTACCAAATGATCCATGCAGACAATAAGGACAATTAACCAGTGGAACAGAGCAGTGGTTGGTTGTCCCCGGTTCAGACCGGTTCGCAAGAACTGGTAGTAAAATTGGCGGGAGTCTTCGCCCACTGCCCCAGATGTCATCATAGGCGATTTGCGCATGTGCAGAAGCTTGGCGTGATCACATTGTGAACTGGTAGTAAAAGTAAGTAGAACCCACTCCTGGAACAGAAGTTGTGGGTGCTCCATTACTGGAGGTTTTCAAGAAGAGACCGGACAGCCATTTATCTGGAATGATCTAGGGTAGCGTTGGCGAAACTTTTTGGCACCGATCAAGATGATCTTCCAGTTTCCGGCACACGCATGTGCACCGGCCACCTGGTCTTCTGGTTTCTGGCGTGCATGCACGCACGAAGGCCAGGAAACCGGAAAATCATTTTTCAGCGCGCGCATGCGCACCGGGCACTGCTCTTCCAGTTTTCGGTACCTGAAGACCAGGTGGCTGGTGCGCCGGATCCCAGAAGAGCAACGGGTAACGGCTTGCATGCCCGGAGAGATGACTCTGCTTGCCACTTCTGGCACACGTGTCATAGGTTCGCCATCACGGGTATAGGGTCTCCTGCTTGAGCAGGGAGTTGGACTAGAAGACCGCCAAGGTCCCTTCCAACTCTGCCATTCAGCCAGCTCTTGTGTTGTGACCGAGGCCCACGTAGTGATTACCAAACATAATTCAGTCCTGAACAAACTTATTTTATTAGTCCAAAACAAATTCTTCATAAAGCAGTCCTACGGCCTTATCACCAACCTTTGATCACTTTGGCAACCTGCCAAAGGCTTTTCTTGGTAAAAAAAACCCCACAAAGTTCAAGAGACGCTGACAAGAAGCACTGGAATCAACATTGCTTTTCTACAAAGAACCCAATGGTTCGTTGCTGGTCTTTTAAGCCTTATGGGAGGGGCCAATCATCTCCTGGCCTTACTCCCGAGTCGTCCTTTTTGCTTCAGCTGCTCTTGCCTTCTGGCAGCTCTTCCCATGTGTGCACTAGGAACAGTCTCCTCCTGTTCCTCTGCCTCTCTGCTGTCCGCCTCTGGAGGCTCCGGGGTCCGCGCATTGCTCCTAGATGGCCCTGGCCCCATCTCTGCCTCCGACACAGAGCCCTTGTCCTGGCCTTCCCCAGACTCCAGGACTGGCCCTTGTTCCTCCCCAGCCTCCTCACTGTCTGACTCTGCTGCCAGCTCCGCAGGCTGCTGGCGGACCACAACACCTTGTCATCTCAGAAAGGTTCCCCATTTTCCAAATTTGGGTGTGTGTGTGTGAGTCTGGAGCATCTTATGATACCGATGAGAGAAATGAATCCCATTCTCCCAGTGCGGAGACAGATGGCTTTCTGATAATAATAATAATAATAATAGCAAGCCACAGCCGCAGCCTCAGATGGAACTGAGGCGATTCTGCTTCCCTTCATGCAGATTTCATGCTTTTCATTTCTTCATAGCCTTGTAGGGAAGAATCGGAGCCTGTGAGCCACAGCCATTGACAGCCGAATAGATTACGGCCCTCCCAGCAAAGCTGCCTTACCTTTGAGGTTTCTCCTTTGAAAATGTCAGACCAACAACACCACACACACACACACACACACAGTGTACAGGTTTCCCAGCAGAGAAAACCCTTCTCGGCTGGTGGCACTGAGCCGACTTGGCGGAGAAAGTCATCGTTCCGTACCTGCGTGAAATGCGGGCAAGGAAGTTATTCCAAGCTAGCGGCATGCAAATTCCATCAGGGTCCTTCCGTCTGCTCGGCTGCTGGGTGTGGTATTACAAATGAACTGCCAAACAGATGGGTTGAGAAATACACAACCCATCTGTCTCCATCATGCTCATTTCCTCCTTTATTAAAATGTTAATGAATACAGTTTTTATTTATTGCGGGGTGACACATGCGGTGTCACTCTCTGGTGGAGAAATGTTCCATCAGCCTTAACTATGTGGACACAGAGAGGGAGAGAAGCTGCTTTTCTTCCGCAGATAAAAACCTCTGTCCTCTCTTCAGGCTCGTGCCAAGTCGAGCTGAATTGAGAAGCTGCGGGATCTAAAAACTCTAGTTTTAAAAAAAAAAAAGTTGGAGAAAAGTTGTAATCGTTTGCGATCAATTCATGTGCTTTCGGGAGCTGAATCCCATTTTGTGAAACACGCAAAAAATGCAAAGTAATGTGGGGGTTGTTGTTGTTGTTAGTTGCGAAGTCGTGTCCAACCCATCACGACCCCATGGACAACGTTCCTCCAGGCCTTCCTGTCCTCTACCATCCTCTGGAGTCCATTTAAGTTCACGCCGACTGCTTCAGTGACTCCATCCAGCCACCTCGTTCTCTGCCATCGTCCCCTTCTTCTTTTGCCCTCCATCGTTCCCAGCATTAGGCTCTTCTCCAGGGAGTCCTTCCTTCTCATTAGGTGGCCAAAGCATTTGAGCTTCCTCTTCAGGATCTGGCCTTCTAAAGAGCAGTCGGGGTTGATCTCCTCTAGGATCGACCGGTTAGATCGTCTTGCAGTCCAAGGGACTCGCAGGAGTCTCCTCCAGCACCAGAGTTCAAAGGCCTCCATTCTTTGACCTTCAGCCTTCCTTATGGTCCAACTTTCAGGTGGGGGTAGACCTCTGGAAAAAGTCTAGTCGCCCATGTACATTCACTGCACTCACATCCAGGTTGCACACAGAGTCTTATTAATCCACCTTTCAATCTTGTACCCATCATCAAAGAAACCCCACCCCATGAAAGAATAAAGTAAGTGGTGGAAAAGGGCTGTGGAAGAGGAATAAAAAAAGTTACTTCGATAAACTTGGAGTGGGATTGGCTTCTCTGGATATATTTTCTGGAAGATAAAGTAAATATTCTAGAGATGAAATGATAGAAGAAATGGTTTTAAGCAAATATTCTAGGAATGAGATTACAGAGACGTTTTTAAGCAAAGATTAAATAAAACTGATCAAGGAGAAAAGCAACCTGGAATTACGGAGAAACTTCCTAACAGTGAGGACAATTAACCAGTGGATTAGCTTCCCTCCAGAAGTTGTGGTTGCTCCATCACTGGAAGTTTTTAAGAAGAGACTGGACAGCCACTAGTCTGAAATGGTGGGTTTTCTGCTTGAGCAGGGAGTTGGACTAGAAGACCTCAAGGACTCTGCCAGCTCTATCCTGATTGATTGATTGATTGATTGATTGATTGATTGATTGATTGATTCTAGGAATGAGATGATGGAGAAGGTTCATGCTATGAGTTAGGACAGCCGGATGATTTTGAGGGGAATTACCATATAAGGACAGGTTTTCATTTCACTCTTGTAAAATTCAATTGCGCTTTCTAGCAGGAATCCGGAAGGTAGATAAAAACTGGAGTGTATTGATTGTGTGAATGTCTCAAACGGTTTGGTGGGAGAGCAGGCATGGCTTTGCTTTAGACCCAAAGGAGTGGGGGGGAAAGGGACAAATTATCCAGTTCAGAACCATCTTCCTGTTAGTAACTTCCTGCATCTCCATCCACCTCTATGTGAAGCAATTATAAAGACTACCTTATTTTAGCAAAAAACATTTTTTGGTGGATGTCTCTAGAAGACCTTCGAAGACACTAATGGGGAAAAAAAAACCACAATGTCAGCCTTTAAGAAAACTATCCTTATGTGCATAACAATTCAGGTATGTGAAGAAAACTCTTAAGACTTAAGTAGCATCAAAGCACTGTGCTTATAACTTACATTTTTTTTAAATAAAAAAAATCCCACTCCTATTATTAAGAGGTAATATGAGAAAACATCATTAAGAAGATTACGGTCCTTCAACTTAGAAAAGAACAGTTAAGGGAGGATTAGATGGGACATACAGCATGGAATAATTGCAAAGTGGATTAAAAGGTACATTTTAATTGAATTTTAATCTGTTACTTTACATGAAGATGTTGTATTACCGGTGAGGACATTTTTTATAAACACTTCTTTAAGCAAAGTAGGGAAAACATTTTTTTTTCAAACGGTAAAACGTATGTCTTTGTTGTTAAGTCAAGCCTGTTGCATTCAGCATTGAAGTGCCTTCTATTACATTATTTTAAGCAGCTAAGCAGCTGATCAATGGGTTGAAAGTGGGGGGGCTATTAATTGACTAACAGTCCACTGCAAAGAGTGTTTACTTGTACACAAGATGCATTGATTTGAATTGAGCCTGTATCTTCTCAGTCGATATATTCAGCATTGGGGTGTAACTGCTCCGTCTTTATGGTAATAAAGCTAGGTCTAGTAAGGTTAAATCACTTTGTCAAGAACCCTGGCCTAATGGAGGTATGGATTGAGTTGGGGGATGGGGAAACTTTGATCTCTTGATAGCTCTAATAGGGGAACTCTAGATTGTCATTGAATACTCAGGCTTTCCTCTGAGATGTTTGGTACTGTAGGAGATGACCAGGCTGAGCTGGAGGGAGAGGTCAAATGCGTCATAAGTCATGAGTCCCTGCCATCAGCCCATCTTGATTGCCTCTCTTATCTCTTGTAAAAATTCTTGTAGAGAATCTTTATTGCTTCTTGCAATAAATAGTTATACTCATTTGAACTGCCTGAACTTCCTGATTTCCCTGGCGCTTGACAGGTATCCTGTAATGTCTCGTGGGTTAGGTCTACGAAAGGTTAGGTCCATCTTGCGGAAAATAACAGTGACAAGCGTGGCAAGGGATGGAACTGGGGAACTGCGTTCTTCCATATTGATTTTCTGGGAGTTTGGGAACTGACACTTGGACAGAGGAAGACTGCTTGATTAATCACATACTGGGCCAGATTCATGATGGTTGATCTCTCTTTCTCTCCACTAGATTCTCCCTGGAAAGTTCATCTCTCCAATATTGATCCCTCGTTGACCAGCATCACTGTGAGCGGGTTAACCCCGGCCCGTACCTACCAGTTTAGAGTCTGCGCGGTGAACCAAGTGGGCAAAGGGCAGTACAGCCTAGAAACCAGCAGGTACGCTGAAATGACACCTCTTGATGAATGTCAGGTTGGTTGAATTTCATTGGGAATCAATGCTTTTGTTGTGACTCCGACCCCCGAGCCCGTCTTATCGGAGGGAGAAGGCTCCGAAAGTGAAGGAGAGGAGTTGGCCAGGCCTCCCTCTCCAGGACCCTCCTCTCTGGCAATGCCTCAAGTGTCTCCCAAAGGAGAAGAGATTGGCCAGGAGCCAAGTATCTCCGAACAGTTGCAGTCAGACAGTGACGGAGATAAGTCTTGGCTGGATCCACGCCAGCGTCAGAGAGACAAGCGCACGCAGCAGAAAAGGAGGCGTGCCAGAGATTAAGCTGAGTCACTGGACCACACCCCACAGGTGATAAAAGGGGGTGTGGTGGCCATTCAGGCTCTGTGACGGACAAAACTAAACAACTAGCGAGTCGCATTGTATCTCTGAAACTACATTATCTGCCTGCCTTGGATTTAATATGGACTGGACTTGACAATTCTGTGGCTTTGTGTATTTGTTTTGATTCTCTGTGAGTAAAGTTCTTGGCAAGCAGCTACTGGGTTGCTGCCAATCCTGTTATCGAAGGAATTTATCGTCTGCAAGTTTTATTTAACTCCTGGCTGACTGTTTGTGTGCGTGTGTGAGACGGGGACAGAATAGGTTTGTCCAATGAAGAGCAGCCCATTGTAGAAACATTAGCCAAAACTGCGTAGATTCAATTGACATATCTTGGGTTTTCCTAGTCATTTGTTTCTTCAAACGCCAAAAACTATGGCTGGAAACTATTATGATCTGAATGGTGCGCTCACCTTTGCTACTTCAGCATAGATCCAAGAGAAAGAGGTGATGGGCACTCGAAAGAGAGAAGGTGTAAACACAGATTATGAAATAAGAGAAAGGTAGCTACCTCCTTTGGCTATCTCTGGAGATTCCTCTCCAATGTTTCTCTTAACCTTCTGAAGATCTTTTTTGAGAGATTAGAGGAACATAAACATTCTGCTTCAATGCTCCAAATTCTCCCCGAACCTGGGTGGATTTTCAGGGAAGTTGGCTCTCCGAGCCTTCACGCGCCAACACCAGCTCAGAGCAAACAGAGAAATTACTTCAAATCTCTCTTAAATGACTTTAAATTCTATTTTACCATCTGCTTAACTGCTCAAGCACATTAGTGCTTCCTACTGTAATCCCGCTGGAGAAGCCATTAAAAAACCCAGCTCGGCCACCTCTGATTAAAACTTGCTGGTGCTATTACTCAAGGCAGAAAGGAGCTTGGGATTTTGAAGTGGAAGAAGTGGTGTGAACATCTCACCTTGGGTGAGGTTGAGGGGGCAGAACTGAAGGATTACATTTGATCAGGATTACAAATTTGGAGCCAGCGTGTGACCTCATTCAAGTTTTGCCATCTTGATCAGGGCAAGCTGTTCACTTGAGATAGATGAAGAAATTCTTTCTTGTATAATTGCCTGATTTTTCTATTACATTGAGTTGTTTCGGCTATTTTGACATGTCTACAGCAAGTCAGTTCTGGTGCTTTCTAATTTAGCTCCTGTGAAGCAAATAGGATTTTTTAAACATTTTTTAACTAAAGACACAAGTAAAGATCTGTGGTTGTCGTTTTGCTTGGCTTTTCTTCTGCTCAGATTGATGTTGCCGGAAGAACCTCCGAGCGCTGCGCCTAAAAATATCGTGGCTAGCGGACGGACCAATCAGTCCATCATGGTCCAGTGGCAACCACCTCCGGAAAGTGAGCATAACGGTGTTCTCCATGGCTACATCATAAGGTAAAAAGGCCCTTGACTGACCTGGATAGGCTGAAGCTGACATTAACTCCACTTGCCTATCGCACCAAATCTGTTTTTTTACAACATCTTGTGGGATACTTGCAGGGCGTTGAGCCAAACCCAAATAAACTCCATGATGATTTCTCATGGGATGGGAATCTCATCTGACTATTTTAATAATAGAGCAATGTTTCCCCTCTCAAATGGAGAGAACCTTGGTCTCCTCTGGCAAACAATAGTTGTGTCCTACCCAATAAAGATTTTTTTTTTTTGGTCTTTAAAAAGAATCAACAACCAGAAGCGCCATGGTCAAAACTCAGGTGTCTTGAGAGAAGTCGCAATATCCTTGTCTCCCAGGAGATTGATGAGTCAGTTTTGCTTCCTTTAATTGTATAGAATCAAAATTTGACTCATTAATGGTCTAACTCCTGAAGGACACACATTGTCGGGTAGCTGTGTCTATTTCTCAAACCAATCTTGGCTGATAGAGGACAAGCCACCAACTTTCCTTCCAGTTTTGGGTGTTTTCATCTCACCTCCAGCACAGGATAATCCCGGTGTCTTGTTCATTTCTGCCAGAGGTGATTCTCCCCTTCTTACTTCCTCTGTGGTGGTCTTCATCAAAGCATGCAGGTAGCAATTGGACAGGCTCTCAGGACCAAATTAAAACCTCTTGAACCCCAAAGTGTTTTGTCTGCTTGCCAAGCTTGGGCATTGTAAAGACATGACTATGGCCTTTTCTCTTGTCCAACCATGCACACAGCATTAATTTTATGAAAATCCACACAGAACCTCATCCCCCCTCCCCAATCTTTTTTATCTTTAAACAGCATGGAGGCTGCCACTCTGGATTTGGTGGGCTGGATGAAACCCTGTGCTAAGTTGGTGTTGATGTATTTTCTTAGTTTAGCCATTTTTTTGGGGGGGTGATCATGCAGTCTGTTGAGCGGGGCGGGGAGGAAGTTGCAGTCCTGCTCGTTAAAGACGTCTGACAGGGCTTGGTAGTCTTTTGGCACCTGTGGGTTGCCGGGAAGTCCGTCTGCAGTGGTTGCCACACCTTCCAGCCAGCTGGGGTGATTGGCGCTCGTTGCCTTTTGGCATCTGGCTGGCTGGCTGGGCGGCAGTGGTAACCGATGCCTATTCTTAGCTTTTGGTAACCATCTTCCCATGTGATGGCCGGGCCCCATTTATCCAGCCAAGCAAGACCCAAAATGATTGACTCAGTCATTTTGGGGGCTATGACGAATCGGATGAGCTCTCGGTGGCGCCCCATCTCCAGTCTAAAAAGCTCTGTGACTAAGGTGGCATCCGATTCATTGTAGTCCCCAAAATGACTGAGTCAATCATATTGGGAGGGCTGACACAACCTCTGTAGCACCTTGAGGGGATTCCGAAACCCTGGTTATATTTGTCAAACCTCATGGCTGAGAGGAATGGAAAGACCCCAAGCAAACGAACATTTCAAAGCTGCTCCCCTTTCTTAGAAGCATTCATCACAAGATAACAACTTAATTAACAATTAATCAGTGGAATGGCTTACCTCCGGAAGATGTGGATGCTCCATCACTGGAATCCCAAAGGTTCTTTTTCAAGAGGCAACTGGACTTTCTGGTTTTTCTCTGAAGACGTTTTACTTCTCATTCAAGAAGCTTCTCCAGCTCTCTTGGATGAGAAGCAAAATGTCTTCAGAGAAAAAACAGAAAGTCCAGTTGCCTCTTGAAAAAGCACCTTTGGGACAACCATGACCTGGATGACTGAGAATTTCCACAGACATCTCTCGCTGGAGGTTTTCATGAATAGATTGGACAACCATTCATTCAGAATTGTATAGGGTCTCCTGCTTGAGCAGGGGGTTGGACTACAAGACCTCTAAGGTCCCTTCCAATCCTATTATTCCATATTCTGTGTTCAACTGTGCTGAAGGAACTCTTCATCTTTTGCCTGCTTTGGGTAAAGCAAAGACAACAGTAAATTTACTTATTTGGATGCAGTGTAAAGCAACAAAAGGACTAATCCTGTTAGTAGTCTGAACTTACAAACTTTTAATCATTTATAGCGTCTTCAGAATTTTCCATCAACTTTTTCACTTCCAAGAAAGCCTTATTACTTCCGTGATTGTTAGCATTCTGCTTTCGGCATGCATCCTGGGGATAGGCTTCATCACATCCACTTCTTCATTTTAGGGGGCCAAGACTAAGGAATAAACAAAGGCGAGTGATTTAAAGCTGCAGCCTGATCAAATATAATATTTAAGAGTGGCAGAGAGGAGGAAGGAAGCAAATGGAAGTTGGACACTAAATCAACATTTTTATTAGACAGGCTTCTTCCTACAGCCGTAAAACAGGATAAAACACAAGTTTTGTTCCAGTCCTAGTTTGTTCTAGACACGCATTCATAATGAGATCGGAACATAAGCATTTTGGCAATCAGATAAGAATCACTGTAATTCTGGCTTTGCGAGTTTTTAAATGTGTTGATAATAACCTTGCTAATAATTTGTTGATAACACTATTGTGAATACTTCTGGCTGGGCTGGCAGTAATGACGATGTTTGCAGAGTGAATCCCATTCCCAACAGAAATATGGCTTATTTTTTTCCCCCTCCTACCACCAAATAGTGCACTGTCCAACAGAATAAAGTTTCAAAAATAGCAGAAGACTTGTCCAATTAGAGCCAGGGTGTCAAACTCAAGGCCCATGGAGCCACCCTAGAAACAGCAAAGGAACCGGCCCATGGTGCCTCTGCCAGCAAAAACAGCGCTCGGGAGAGCCTGTTTTCGACCATGACAGCCTCCCACAGCCCCCCAATCTCCATTTTCACTGGCAGAGGGCTGCAGGAGGCCGTCGTGACCAAAAACAGAGCTTGGCAGGGGTGCACGCAGCATTCCCAAGCTCCGTTTTTGCTGGCAAAGGACTGCAGGAGGCCGTCACAGCTGAAAACAGACATTGAGTTGGCCACGCCCACCCCAAGGTCAAACCCAACCCTGATGCTGCCCTCAATGAAATCGAGTGTGACGCCCCTGAATGAGGGAATCCCATTAAATTAAGAATGAATAAAAAGTTGGTTTCAGCAATTTCTAAATACCAGCTGAAGAACTGAAGGTACCCCTATCAACAACTTTGGTTGAGTCCACATCAATCCTGGCTTGTTCATGTAGTTAGGGCTTAAGAAAAGGAAGACAAGAACCTTCCTGATGGTGGAGAGCATCTGCACTTTTAAGACCGGGTCTACATTCAAGACCTTTGCAAGGGTGATTTTGTCTGGACCGCCACAAGTTTACATTGTGTGGAACTCAACTCCCAGAATTCCCCAGGCAGCATGGGGAATTCTGGGAGTTGAGGTCTATACATCCTAAATTCTTGGTTTGAGAAACACTGGTCTAGGGAATGGGGTCAATGTCTGAATGGACTGGGCCTGTAGCTGTTGGTTTTTAGGTTGGTAGCCCAACTAATGTTTTTCCTTTAATCGAAACCCTTCAACTGGTTGCAACCAAGAATCGTTTCTCTGTATAGATATCGCTTAGCAGGACTTCCTGGGGAGTATCAATACAAGAACATAACCAGCGCGGAGATAAACTACTGCTTGATCAAAGACCTCATCATCTGGACCCAGTATGAAATCCAGGTGGCATCTTATAACGGAGCTGGTCTGGGAGCCTTTAGCAGGGCAGTCACCGAATACACATTGCAAGGAGGTGAGTGGTTGTCTTCCAGATCTCATTTGTGGAGAGCTTTGAAATGGCCTCAATGAGGAATTCTAGGAGTATACTATAATGGGGTCTGTTTGCCTGTGTGGTAAGGTGTGTGTATGGAAGGGTATTTCCCTGAGGTGGGCCTCAAAAATTTTAGCAAGGGGTTCTCTGCCCGGTTGCTGGGTGGGTGTGGCCATGGTGGGCGTGGCCTAGTCAGCCTCCTGCACCATGGGAGGTATTTTTGCCCTCCCCGGGCTCCGGAGGCTTTTCTCGAGCATCCAAGAAGGCAAAAATGGCCTCCCCAGGCTCTGGAGGCCCTCTGGAGGCCGGAAATGAGCCCGTTTCCAGCCTTCCTGAACTTCCAGTAGGCCCATTTTTCACCCTCCCTGAGCCTCCACCTGTGCCCTGCACTCACCTGCATCCAAAATGAGCCACATGGGGACTCCTGGGAGGGGTGGGGCAGGGTGGGTGAGGCCAGCCAGGATTGGGATTTGGGGGGTTCTCTGAACTGCACAGAATCTTAGCTAGAGGTTCTTCCGAACCCCTGCGAACCCCCAGCAGCCCCACCCCTGCAAGGGTATTTCCTGGATGTAAGAAATGATTGTGGGTTTCCTTTGTGCATGAGGAAATAAGATCTAGGGGAAGTTACATGTAGATTGGGCCAATTATGATTAATTATAAGAAAGTGAGATTGAGAGAAGTTTTCTTCATTAACGTTGAAGCGAGGTCTAAAATTATGTATGAGAGATTTAGATACGAGAGATTTGCCAAGGTTGAAGATGTGTCATAGGAGGGGAAGGATAAGCAGTTGTCCAAAACGAAGCACCAGAGTCTTCTGGACTGAGCCATGGAAGCCCAAGCTGAGAAACAAAACGAAATATCTGAAGTAGAAATGACAAAGGCAGAGACCACAAAGAGTCGCCAAGGTGCTTTTTTTTCTTTTCCCAAAAGCCAACTGGACCGTCTTGGTTTTTTTAATTTGAAATGTGAAAAGAATTGAAGAACCTTCTTGGATGAGAAGTGAAACATTTTTCAAAGGAAAAAAGAAAAATCAAGGAAGTCCAGTTGCCCTTTTTTGGAAAAAGCACCTTTGGGACAACCATGACTGAGATGATGGTGAATTTTCATAGACAGACCACAAAGAGGTCCTTCAAGCCGCATGCAACTCCTTCTCTCGCCCAAGAGCAAGTCCTTGTTGATCTTGCCCCCATCAATGACATCATCCTTCCTATCACTGGATAGGCTGCTCTGGATGGGAGCCTGAGATAGGACCTCTGAACCTTCAGATGTTGCCTGCCGCTCAAACCTTCATTAAGTCTTCACCATCCAGATGCTCTCTTGATTGTCTGCATATTCATAAGCAGCCTGGCGCACTTAACCTTTGCTTCTCCCCTTTTCCCCATTGGCCTTCCAGTTAATGGCTCTCACCACCTTACCTTTTGGACTTTCTAATGCCACATTTTAGCATGGAATGCAAGCGGTTGAGTCTGGACATAGTCCCAGATTAGTGAGCCTCGTGTACGGAAGCTAACCTTTTTTTCCTCGGGCGCCAAAATTGTATGTGTGCGCACGATAGCACGCTAGTGCATGCCAACACCCATAATGCAATGCCCCCTGCACATGCGTGTATGACCCTCCTGCACTGCCCTACCCCCCCGTGCCTGTGACCCCCCCCCCCCCCCCCCCCCCCCCCCCCCCGCCCCGGCCACCCCCCCCCCCTTGTTTTGGGCCTAGCAGGCCTCCCTGAAGCCTCCAGAGACCAGAAATGGCGCGTTTCCAAACTTCCGGTAGGCCAGTTTTTCACCCTCCCAGAGCCTCCGCGCGAGCCCTGTACTTGGGAGGGGAGGGGCAGGGTGGGCGTGGCCAGCCAGGGGTGGCATTTCAGGGTTCGCCGAACCCCGGCGATCCTTGGCTAGAGGATTGCCCAAACCCCCAGGAGCCCACCCTTGCCCAGAATGAATAATCCAAGGCATCCATATTCCATCAATGTCTTTTTATTAGGAACATACCAAATTGGCAAGGTCTTGGTGTAATTCCAGCTCTAACCTAACCTTGGAATTACACCCAGTAAAAAGCAAAAGTTTGAAACTCTCCCTCCCCCCCAGAGTCACATTCTCCAATCAGCTAACAGCCCATCAGTCCAGTGACTCCAAACTCTACCCTCAGCCATCTGCAGGCACATTCTCGGTTCCCACGGGAAGGAATTCCACCTAGCCACAATATCCCCTCTTATCTCTACCACCCCACTTCCTACTGCTAGAATGTGGTGAGCCTGAAGCCTCGTTAAATCCCTTTGAAGAATACCTAGAGAAAGTTTAGAAAAAGAATAGGAAATGACACTACCATAAAACATGGCTACACCTATGTCAGCTTCAGGGTTGACAGTTGTCCCATGTGCTCATCCATGGGGCTCCTCTTTGATGAGATACTTCCTTACTTTCACCAAGACTGAGTAGTTTTCCACCCATTCCTCCAGGTCCTTCTTCTCATCAATCCCTGAAAAATGGGAAGTTTGGATCTTCCCCTTTAGCTTTCACAACACTTCAGCAACAGGACAAGGGGACTGAAAGTTATAAGAGGTTACCTGAAGGATACACGGCTTTAATGCTATTTTGAGAATAATAAAGAAGAGCTTTGTTAATTTAATGGGAGTTAATACCCCATACCTTTTTCTGAAAGACTTTCTGGGAATGACAGGACCTCATTAGAGGTGGAATCATCAGAGGAGTCCAGAGAATCTTGTAAAAATGAATCATACATGTTGTAACTCCAGGAATCAAATCAGTTGGTGGAATTAAAATGATTAATGGTTTCTGTTACAGTCCTCTTGTATAACCATAGCTCATCCCCCTTTTCGTAACACAGGGACTAAGTGAGGATGGTAATGCCAGGGAGAAATCTCAATCACTTGTGGCATACAGATGGTCTTAACTTTTATTTATTTATTTGTCAAATGTATATTTGACAAATGTGAAAGCCTCCAGAACCTGGGGAGGGCAAAACACAGGCCTCCGGTACCAGTAGTACCGGAAGTCCGAAAATGGGCCCGTCTCCAGGAGACTCTGGAGTCCAGGAGAATCTGTTTTCGCCCTTCTGGAGGCCCCAGAAAAGCCTCCAGAGCCTGGGGAGGGTAAAAACACCCACCCCCCGCTATGTTGCAGGAGATTGAGTAGGCCACGCCCCCATGGCCACGCCTACCCAGCAACCGGGCAGCGAACCAGTTGCTGAAATTTTTCAATCCCACCCCTGCATAAGATGCTGTCTTGGTGTCTCTTTCCCTTTCCTGGTGTTCTTCTCCTGCCATTATTATCGAACCAAAGAAAACACAACCCTTCATTTACATTGTGAGAATTTCTTTTTTCCCTGGGATAATTAAGAGAAAATGATTCACCCATCGTTATTAGCGATTCTGTCTTGGGGGAAAAAAGCTTGTCGGTGGAATAACAGCGGGCCAAGAACCATTCCATCTCTTGCTCCATTTGTGGAGGGATCCCCAGAAAATGAAAAATCACCCAATTAAGTTTCTCTTTTTTTTTTTAAGTCAGCCCTGCCTCCCTCCCTCCCAATATCAGGGACATCAATCACCAGTCTCTTTTTCCACACCAGTGTTACAACCCTTTGAATTGTGTATAACCGTCAAGGGCTTAGTTTTCCTTTTTTTTTTTTTTTTTTCCTTTTTTTTTTTTTTGGACTTCCTTCTCCTCCGTTTCTGTCCTGCCCATCTGCCTGTCGTTTCGCACGGTCGTCTTTCTTCCCGGCTGTGCAGTGCCCACTGCACCCCCTCAGAACGTCCAAGCGGAAGCGGTCAACTCCACCACCATCCAATTCTTCTGGAACCCTCCTCCGCAACAGTTCATCAACGGGATCAACCAAGGATACAAGGTTTGGATGAATCCATGTTAGAAGCAGGTTCCCTTGGAACAGTGGTGAAATGTAAAATTTGTTACTACCGGTTCTGTGGGCGTGGCTTGGTGTGGGGGGGTAATGTGACTGGGTGGGTGTGGCCAACTTTTTTTTTAAAACTTTTAAAAGCATTTTTTCTACAACCGAAGAGATTGTAGAAAAAACGCTTTTAAAAGGCTCTGACGATCCCAGCTGAGCCGCACAATCATCAGAGGCTTTTTTTTTTTTTTACTTTTAAAAGCATTTTTTGGGCAGAAGAGGTTGTAGAAAAAATGCTTTTAAAAGTAAAAAGAAAAGCCTCTGATGATTGCGCGGCTTAGCTGGGCATGTGGGGGGAGGGCAGGGATTTTTGCTACCGGTTCTCCGAACTACTTACCACCATTGCTACTGGATCAGGTGATCCGGTCTGAACCGGGAGCATTTCACCCCTGCCTTGGACCTCAGGAAGCAAAGAGCCAATCCACAAACAGGGGTCTTGGGCCATGTTCAATGCCGAATTTCTTCGTTTGTTTAATTTATTTGCCACCCATCTCATTTCGAAGCAACTCCGGGCAGCTTACAGCCTTCAAAGCACAAAACTATGAGATAAAGATTTCCCAAATGATTAAAAAAAAAAAAACCAGTTACCATCAAGATAAAATGATGGTTAAAAGCTGGTCTAATGCTCAATTTACAGCCATGTGTTTAGCAAACTTTCAGATTTACCGTGGCAGTGAAAAAAAATGCCTTAGAACCGATCCTCCCTCTTACGGTGGGAGTCGTGGTGGAGCAGTGGTTAAAGTGCAGCATTGCAGGCTGAGTCTGCCCAACTGCCAAGAGTTCGATCCTAGCCGGCCTTCCATCCTTCTGAGGTCGGGAAAAAGACGGACTCAGATCGTTGTCAAGTGTTTGTTAAGTAAATCACTGCAGTCGTTAAGTTAGTAACTCGGTTGTAAAGTGAATCTGCCTCCCCCATCGATTTTATTGGTCAGAAGGTCGCAAAATGTAATCACGGGACATTGCAACCGTCATAAATACATGCCAGTTGCCAAACTTTTTAATTCTGATGGGGTGACCACGGAGGTGGTCATAAGTGTAGCAAACGGTCATATTTTCCCATGCCTTTGTAACTTTGAACGGTCACTAAAGGAAGCAAGTCAAGGATTAGCTGCCTTCCCTGGCTTGGGATATTCCTATTCCTATTCCTATTCCTATTCCTATTCCTATTCCTATTCATTCTATTCCTATTCCTATTCCTATTCCTATTCCTATTCCTATTCCTATTCTCTAACCCACAGGACAATAGTACAGTATTATCAGTTTAAACCAATGTGCATTTAGCAAGTAAGAGGCTCGGTGGCTTAAAGATGCTGAATCTGTTCCGGAAGTTCGAGTTCTGTCCCTGCATGGCGGGGTGAGCTCCCATCACTTGCCTTAGCTTCTGCCCCCCTAGCAGTTCAAAAGCATGTGACAACGCTAGTAGATAAATAGGTACCACTTTGGTGGGAAATGTGGCAGTGTGGATAACTGGGCTGGGTAGATAACAAGAAACTCGGTCCTTAATCTGAAAGAGAAACACAGCTCAATAGAAGACCCCTCCCCTCCCCATTTCGGTTATTAGCGCCAACTTCTTTAGGAAAAAAAAACAAAAAACCCAAATGTCTAAATTTTCCTATATTGTTAGGCTGTTTCCAGAAGTTGTTTTTATATTCAATTGTTGTTTAAATGGCACTTCTCTTCGAAAACGTACAAAGTAAAACGTACACAGGTTGATTTTTCACTTGTCAAGAGCTACTGAAATCTCTGCTTTTAACTGTCAAGGTTCTTTCTTTCTTTCCTTTTTTTTTTTAATCTTCTCTTTCCTTGCTTTTTCATCTTTTTCTTTTTTTTTCTTTTTTTAATGTCTGAAGCAGCTGGGCAGATCGTATTTATTTCATAGCTTGGATTTTTTTTTTAAAAAAAAAAACCACATTATAATAGGGACAGTTGTAGGGAGGACATTTCTATCATATTTTTATGTAGCACATAATTTGCGTAATGATTTATAAATTGCCACATTTCGTGCGTTTCCTCGCCTGGCTGGTGTCACTCATTGTGTGTTTTTTTCCTGGCAAATGCACTCAGCTTCTTTTTATGGAAGCAGGGAATATTCCACTCAAAAGAAAATGTAAAAGCCCATTGGTGACCCATTGGTACATTTTCAGTCTGTTTTATAGGTATAATTTTGCTAAACGGAGCACGTTTCTCTCTCTCTCTCTCTCTGCCATTATGAATTGGAGAATGGGGTTGTTTTGTTTCACTTCTGGAAGTTTTTATTTATTTATTTGTATCCCGCCTTGTTATTTTTGTAAAACAACTCAAGGCAGAGATCACATCCAATCCTCCTTCCTCCTCTGATTTTCCCCAAAACAACAATAACCCAGTGAGGTGGGCTGAAAGAGAAGGATTGGTATAAAGTCACCCAGCTATCTTTCATGTCTAAGGCGGGACTAGAACTCACCATCTCCTGGTGATTGGTGTGAAGTCACCCAGCTGTCTTTCATGGCTAAGACAGGACTAGAACTCACCGTCTCCTGGTGATTGGCCCAAAGTCACCCAGCTGTCTTTCATGTCTAAGGTGGGACTAGAACTCACCGTCTCCTGGTGATTGGCCCAAAGTCACCCAACTGTCTTTCATGGCTAAGGCGGGACTAGAACTCACCATCTCCTGGTGATCGGCATGAAGTCACCCAGCTGTCTTTCATGGCTAAGGCAGGACTAGAACTCACCATCTCCTAGTGATTGGCCCAAAGTCACCCAGCTGGCTTTCGTGCCTAAAGCAAAACTAGAACTCACTGTCTCCCAGTTTCTAGCCTGGGGGTTCAAGTCCACAGGCCTTAAAAAGTTGCCAAGGTCGGACACACCTGCCTTAATGGATTAGGCTACCTTATGCATGCTGAGTTGCAAATACTTAGCTTGCAATCTTGAAGGCACCGCCATTGTGGTCATAAAACTCGCGTTGTGGTTTGCGAGAGATAGCGTTTCTCCAGCCAGATCCTCCGCTGCAGGCCCTCTCGGTGGCTTAGCAGTGATGCAAAAACAGATCAATCACTGTTAAATCAAAGTGGGATGTGGGCAGCCCAGGTCCCATTTGTCTTCTGTTCCCTGTAAGTCTGCCAATGGTAGTTCATTGTATCTCGGAGCTAGTTTATTAAGTAGCATGACAGATGAAGGGATTTTAATCCAGAGGCGAACAGGGGAGATTTTTAATCCAAGCAACGGAGAAATGGAGAGAGCTGTTCTTACGAGACAGAGTTAATATTAAAGGCAAGAGTTTCAACCTTGAGGTCCTACCTCAACCTTGACCTAGAGTTGAAACAGAGAACTTAGATTACAGAGTCCAATGCACTACAGATTCACATCATGGACCTGTTTCCTTCATATTATCATCGTATCTCCCAGGCATTTCCTTCCCCTGGACAAGGGGTCAGCAACCTGCAGCTCTGGAGCCGCATGTGGCTCTTTCACCCCTCTGCTGTGGCTCCCTGTCACTCAAAATAGGCATCCCAACCTCCAATGTGCGACACCCACCGGCACACGATTTATTGAGCTTTTCAACCACTGGTAGACCAACCATAGATAAATCCAAGAAAAGAAAAGTGTCAGAAGAAAACAGAACGTTTAATTCAACTACATATGCTAGTTTTGTGGCCGCTCAAGAAATAGTCAGGCACAAGAAGGGTTTTGTGGCTCCCGGTGTTTTCTTTTCTGTGGGAAACGGGCCCAAATGGCTCTTTGAGTGTTTAAGGTTGCAGACCCCTGCCTTGGACTATAGGGGTAACCATCCTCCTTCTTTTATTAATCCTGGGTTTTTTCCCCCCTAACCCCTGAATGGTTTTCTTTGCTGAGATGGGCTCTTACGTTTTTGACATCCCTGTGATTACACAATGAGGACAATTCATCTATGGAATGACTTGTCTCCAGAAGTGGTGGGTGCTCCATCACTGGAGGTTTTCAAAAATGTTTTCAAGATAGCCATTTGTCCAGCATTGGATGGACTAGAAGGCTTCCAAGATCCCTCTCGACTCTTCTGTTATTCTGATTAGTCATGCCACTATTGAGCAGAAAAGGAAGCTTGTCCATGGTTCTGTATGTCCTTCAAAATAGCTTTAAGGCCTTGCAGATTGGGATGGTGGGATCGCTTTCTGTGTTTAGATACATTACGAACCCCAAAACACCGTAAAATTGCCCAAGATGACTCGGCTACATTCATAAGAATCTCTGAGCTAATCCAAGCTCTGCTGTCTATGGCATTGACCAGTGGATGGTAATTGACAACCCTCAAAGGATGTCAACTCTCTTTGATTCCACCATTCTTCCATCATCCAGCTCTTGGCGTGGCCAGTTGATGCCCCAGATGTTAAGACCGCCGTCACCATTCCTCCAGATTTTCATGGCGTCCACAGAGGATATATAACCAACCTGAAGAAATTCACGGCTTACTACACCTCGATCCTTTGCTTCACCACCCCGGGCGATGGGCCACCCAGTCCACCACAGCTACTACAGACTCACGAAGATAGTAAGTAGAGCCATTGTCTTTACCAGTGTCACACAGGCGTACATCGGGGTGTCAAATATTCGTTGGTCGGTGCAGTTGATCCAGACCAAGATCTCTGCCAAAAACCATCTCTCCAGCATTTGTTTGAGGACTTCTGATTAGGGGTAGCCCCCTGTTTAACTACAGGTAGTCCTTGGCTTACAAACATTCGTTTAGCAACCATTTGAAGTTACGGCGGCACTGGAAAAAAGTGACGTATGACCATCACAGCATTCCCTCGGTCATCTGATGGAAATTTGGGTGCTTGGCAACCGGCATCTATTTACAACGGTTGCAACATCCCAGGGTCATATGATCGGCATTTGCAAAGTCAACGGGGAAAGTTGGATTAGCTTAACAAGCCAATTAAGTTATTAGCTTGATAACTGCAGGGATTTGATTCAACAACCATGGCAAAAAAAAAAAGGTCCTGAAATCGGGTGTGATTCATTTAACAACCGTCTTGCTTAGCAATGGCAATGCTGGTCCCAATTATGGTCGTAAGTCGAGGACTACCTCCAACGGTGAACAGCTTACTCCAGAGATGTTTCTCCTAAGATTCATTCTCTGCAACCTCAAAGCCCATTCAATCTACTCCTGTCCCCCGTGGCATCATACAACGAATGTTTGTAATTCTTAAATGCATAAATTTTCAGATATTTACGGAGTGACCCTTTTAACTATCTCTTCTGCAAATTTAGAGTAGAGGGATATCCGGTTCCTTCAATCTCCTTTCTTAAGCCTTTATTTTATTTTATTTTATTTTCCCCAATGCCACCGATTATCTTCCTAGCCAGCCTCTGAGGTCCTTCCGTTTTTCTACAAGAGAAACGTAGCCTGCCAATGAACAAGGTTTATAGCCTTCCTAATTAGGTGAAAACCTTTCCTCGGTTTGATTAACCTGCGCAGAGGATCACTGCAGATCTGGAAGAAGAAGAAAAAAAGACTCTTATCTAGGGGAATTCTTCCATGTTGGAAGAGAATTGGCTGCAAGGTTATAAATAATGTAGAGCTATGCCTTCTGGGAATTGGTTTGTAAATTATTGAGCCTTTTGAATGGTTGCCCTGCTCCTAAGAATCAACTGTAATTAAGGCGTCGTGTTACTCACACGAGCAGACACAGGAAGGGCTAAATCATCGTTTCATTAGACAAGTTTATATTTGTCCACCTTTTATAGTGCAGATCAATGTTTCTCAAACTTGGCAACTTTATAAGAAGTTCGGATTTCAACTCCAAGAATTCCGGCTGGGGAATTCTGGGAGTTGAAGTCCAAACTTCTTACAGTGGCCAAGGTTGAGAAACACAGGTCTAGATGCTAAAATGCCTGTTGTAAGAGAGACAAGATGTCTCAAAAAACATACAACTAATATCTGGGGTCGGCTGCTGGCGGTTCGCAAGGGTTAGAGAGAACCTCTAGCTAAGATTCTGTGCAGTTTGGAGAACCCCCAAATCCCACTCCTGGCTGGCCCCGCCCCACCCCGCCCAGGAGTCCCCACGTGGCCCGTTTTGGATGCAGGTAAGTGCAGGGTGCACACGGAGGCTCGGTGAGGACAAAAAACAGGTCTACCAGAAGTTTGGGAAGGGCCTCCGGAGCCTGGGGAGGCCATTTTTGCCCTCTCTTGAGTCTCGAGGAAAGCCTCCGGAACCCGGGGAGGGCAGAAATGCCCCCCTCCCACCACTGTGGTGCAGGAGGCTGACTAGGCCACACCCACGATGGCCACGCCCACCCAGCAACTGAACAGAGAGCCCGTTGCTAAAATTTTTGAAGCCCACCCCTGGCTAATATGCATTCAGATCTCTTTCCTCCCACCAATCTCCTGGATTTTTGGGGCTGAGGTCCATGATGGATTGCTGAAAACCAAGAAGAGTAGATCTGGGCAGACAGAGCCTGACTGAGACCCCGTTTAGGGACCCATTAAAGGCAGCTCCGGAGTTCTCTTGAGACACAAACCAGATAAATGAATCGCCAGGTTGAATTATTGATTCATATTAGCCAAGCAGAAGGAAACTTCCACACTTCAAAGACGATATTGAAACATCGAGAGGGCCTTTCTTGAAATCTCAAGGCTTCCTTTGGAGGTTTCAAGTAGGCTGGTTATAAAAAAATAATAATAATAAAAAAAATCCAGGTTACAGCATTTCAACCAGCAGATACCCCAGGGCATTACATACCGAGGCCTAGTCCTGTCCAATCCCCGCTGAGTTATAGCAGCGTTTCTCGCTGATCTCGGTATATTTCACACGGATTTCTGCTGCGCAGCATTTGTCACACTAGCAGCCTTGCAGCTTGCCAACGGGAACAAGCCCATCTCGTATATATCTTATTTTATATTTGGGGTTGAGAGCCTGGAAGATGCAAAAAGGTTTGGGAGGACGAATTAGATCTGTCTGCCTGTCAACACAGGCAAGATTTGCAACCGTGTTGGGCCTACGCGACAGGGGTTCTTAGCTGTGTGCAGCCTTTCCAGAATGCAGCTCATTCATGAAATCTGGGGGCGGAGAGGATAATTAACGCCTGCCTGATCAACGAAGCTTCCTTGTCTGGGTTCGCACAACCCAATTAACAAGGTGAAGGAAGGATCCCATTGCCGCCGGGGCCCTATGTTCATAAACGTGGTTTATTTTGATGTTGGTTGGTCGTCTTATAGGCAGGACCAACAACCTCTTTGGGTGAGCTTCGGATCTATTTTATTCTATAAACCCAGAAAAGGGATTAATCTGATAACCAAGTAAGATTGCGTCACTTAATTTTACACGGGTTTATTGAAATCCAGAACAGCAAGGGTGAATCGTTGCTCTGGATTAACGTCCTCAGACATCCATCTGCTTTGAAGTCTTCAGAACTTCCTCTGACGCACATTAAACCAGCGCTATTGATCCAGCATTTTTGACATCCATCTAACTAGCATGGCCCCAAGCCAGATATTCTTGGCTACTGCTGGGTTTGTTTTGTTCTTTGCCAGCTGGTCAAAAGGTTAGCTCTCCCCTTCTATCTCTCTGTCTCTCTCTCTCTCTCTCTCTCTCTCTCTGTGTGTGTGTGTGTGTGTGTGTGTGTGTGTCTCTCTCTCTGTGTGTGTCTGCCTCTCTGTCTCTCTCTCTGTCTCTCTCTCTGTGTCTCTCTGTGTCTCTCTTTCTGCCTCTCTCTCTCTGTGTATCTGCCTCTCTCTGTCTCTCTCTGTCTGTCCCTCTCTCTCTCTCCCTCTCTCTCCCTTTCTCTGTCTCTCTCTCTCTCCCTCTCTCTCTCCCTTTCTCTCTCTGTCTCTCTCTGTCTGTCTCTCTCCCTCTGTGTGTGTGTGTGTATCTCTCTCTCTCTTTGTCTCTCTCTCTTTCTCTCTCTCTGTGTCTCTCTGTGTTTGTCTGTCTGTCTGTCTCTCTCTCTCCTCCTCCTCCTCCTTCCTCCCCTCCTTCTCTCCTTCCCGCCTTTCCTCTCTCCCTCCCTCTCTATTTTTTATTTATTTTTTAAAAAATTATATTATATTAAAATGTGTATATTGCTGCCTACTCACTCATGGCAACTCAGGGTGGCTTACAGGAGATAAAAACACAATATAAAAGAAATTAAAATAATAAAATAATAACCCCCCACCCACCCAGCCCCAGCCCAGCAACAAGACTTGTAGACATGAACTCCCAGACTTCCCCAGCCGGCCATGCTATCTGGGGAATTCTGGGAATTGAAGTCCATAGGTCTTAACGTGGCCACCCCTGATCTACAGGAAAGTTGTTGAATGGTTGTTGAGTCAAAGAGCAATCAAGAGCACAATCCACCCAGCCATAATGAGATTAGACTCTGGACAACTGATTATCGCCAACCACAAGAATCCTCTTGAGGCTTCTTAACCACTTCATTGAAAGGGAAAAAGCAACACAAGTGTTACAGAAACGGCAACTGTTAAAAGCTTCCATTTTTAGGATCTCCGCTCTCTTTAGATTCGCTGGAACAGAGCCATTTTCATTCTTCTGGTAACCACCCTTTGATGAAGAAGAGATGCAACCATTTGTCTGAAACGGAATAAGGCAGTGACGGCAAACCTTTTTGCCATCATGTGCCAAAAGTGGGGGGGAGCATGGAGGGGTCACGTGCGCGCGTTCCCACACCCATAATGCAATGCCCCCTGCACGCCCTGCCCCCCCCCCCCCGTGCATGCATGCACGCCCCCCCCCCCTCCACTTTGGGCCTAGCAGGCCTCCCTGAAGCCTCCGGAGGCCAGAAATGTCCTGTTTCCAAACTTCTGGTAGGCCCGCTAGGCCCGTTTTTCGCCCGCCCCAGGCTCCGGAAGCTTTCCTGGAGCCTGGGGAGGGCGAAAACAGCCTCTCCTGGCAGTCCGGAGGCCCTCCGGAAACTGGAAATAACCTGTTTCCAGACTTCCGGTAGGCCTGTTTTTCACGCTCCCAGAGCCTCCGCATGAGCCCTGTACTTACCTGGCATCCAAAACAGGCCACATGGAGACTCCTGGGAGGGGTAGGGCAGCATGGCCATGCGCGTGCCTCTCCTGCATGCACAGCAGAGACCCAAAAATCAGCTGGCCGGTGGGAGGAGCGTGCACATGCGCGGTGGAGCTGACCTAGGGTACCGGCTCACGTGCCTGCAGAAATGGCTCCACCTGCCACCTGTGACTCACATGCCATAGGTTCACCATCACGGGGATAGGGTCTCCTGCCTGAGCAAGGGGTTGGACTAGAAGACCTCCGAGGTCCCTTCCAACTCTGGCATTCTGAGTTGCTTTCACTTAGCTGTGCTTTGACACTTAGTCACTTCCAAATAACGGAGAAAATGTGCAGGATTTTCCCAATCTCCCTCCCTTTCCCCAAGCTCAGAGAAGACCATTCCTTTTCTTTCTATTTATAAATCTGTGCTGTCAAATCCACCCCAGTCCCTTCGGTGAACAGCTGAGAGGAAGTGAGTGAAAGCATTCGTACCAGCGATAACCACAATCATCTTTAGCACCTCCACATTTCTGACAGCTCTCAGTTTCTCACTCTCCGCTAACCCTCGCCGCTGGCTCTTTTCGTTCTTCAATCCCCGCAAACCCGCTGACCTGAATCTGATCCCAAATAAAAGCAGCTTTCCCCGTTAACAGATTTTTGGCGTTGTTGTTTTTGTTTTTCCTTTTCCGCTTGCCAGCACCAGGAACGGTGGGACACCTGAGCTTCACAGAGATTCTGGACACTTCGCTCAAGGTCAGCTGGCAAGAACCCGTTGAGAAAAACGGCATTATTACAGGCAAGTATCAGCAAAGCGCTGTGAGAAAACACCTCGCAAAAAGAAAATCAAGGAGGGGGCAATTGGCCTCGCGAATGTCAGAGAAAGGAAGGCTGGGGAAATTGTTCTGCTAAGGGAAATCTGTATTTGTGAAGAGCCTCTGGCTGAGAGAAAATGTTAAGATCTTGGCTTTGACTTCTCTGGAGCTGAGAAGTCCTCCAAAGAGCGGTTGGAGATATATGAGGATTGGTTACTATTTGACAATAATTGACCTCGCCAAGAGCAATCTGTAGGCACATCTACCCCAGCTTTGAGCTTGCTAAATATCATGTCTTGCCACTCCCACCCCACCGCAAAGGTATACACTTCTCTTTTTGCTGTTCTACTACCCCTCTGAGATTAGAGGGCTGCCTAAATTTACACCAAGGTGTGTAAGATGTTGCCTTGCTTTCCAAAGTGGAACGCAGCTTGTTGAGTTGCTTCTCGGTTGAGCAAATATGTCCGCCAGCTTCTTTCACAAACACGGTAGGACCTAGAAGGTCCCTTCTACTTCTCCATTTTGGCGAATATTCAGAACATCAAGCCCGTTTGTTGTGCTGTTATTGTCAGAGTGTTGTAATACTGGACCTTTCTGCCACTTAGAGCCTGTAGTATACTGGACTAAAGCACTGTTATTAACATCTGCTGCTTGCAATTACTGCAAGTTCAAATCTCACCAGGCTCAAGGTCGACTCAGCCTTCCATCCTTTCAAAGGTAGGTGAAATGAGGACCCAGATTGTGGGGGCAATAAGCTGACTTTGTATAAATATACAAAAGTATGAAGGCTATTGCTTAACGCATTGTAAGCCGCCCTGAGTCTCCGGAGAAGGGCGGCATATAAATTAAAGCAAAAAAAAAAAAAAACACCTTAAAACTATTAGGAACCATGTAATGGTTTCACCCATCTTGTGCGTTGCGAGTAGACGCTTCTTATTCGCATTATATGTTTTGAGCTACAGCAGGCAACTAACAGGTTGATTAGCAAACATTTGTTAATATGATAAATGAATCTGAAATCCAAGGACAGAAAAAAAATTCTGGGGAAAATAATTTATGTTGCATAGACAAAGGGTTCATTCCTCCTCCAGCATATCCAGTTACAAACAATGAAATAGAACAGAAGGAGCCAAGTGTCAACAATTAAGCTTCCCACCTTTCCATGGAAACCCAAATGAATTTTTTCAACCATGGTTTAAAGATAGCAGAAGGTGTAAATGTCAGGGTTCCAAGGAACACCCCAACAAAAGAAAACTCAAAGTTTCCTCAAAGTTACACTTTATTAGAGATGTCATATTGGCACATCTGGGGAAGCCCAAATCTGAAAGCTTCCAGGATTTTCCCACCCAAAGGAAAGTCCCTGCCCAACACCCACAAGTCCATCACATGGTCCAATTAAAGCACCCATCCCAACTGGAGATGCCTCCCAGTTCCAGCCTTCCAGGTGCAGGGCAAGATGTCCTTGACTCTTGAGAAAGGAATGTTATTATGACTATATATCACTCTCACTCCACACAATTCTCCCTCCCAATTTCCCACAGTAGTAAATGTGGCAGGTCTGAAGGCCCAATACAAAAGATGGCTTCCAGGCCTGACAGTAGGGTGATTTGGGGCTCTGGGTGAAGAGTTTGAGACCTTGGAGTGGGAGCACCTTCTGAAGGTCTTCTGTTCTCCATTCGTCTTAATTCCCCTCTCTCCAAAAATTGATTCCAAATCACCAGATGGGAGGGGAAGATTATGAGTGGAAAATGGAAAGGAGCTTGGAAACCCCCCCACCCTCACACCCATCCTTAATTTTCAGAAACGCAAAATGACACTGTGAAATTTGACCAATTGCAGGGATGAAATCCAACAGGTTCTGGAGAACCGGTAGTGGAAAATTTGAGTAGTACGGAGAACCGGCAAATACCATCTCTGGCTGGCCCCAGGAGTGGGGAGGGAATGGAGATTTTGCAATATCCGTCCCCTGGAGTGGGGTGGGAATGGAGATTTTGCAGTATCCTTCCCCTGCCATGCCCACCAAGCCACACCCACAGAACCGGTAGTAAAAAAATGTAGATTTCACCACCGGCCGATTGGTTTGATCTCGTGGTGCTGGGAAGCTGCAAGTGAGGGAGCTGGAGGTAGATCACCGATGGAGGTGACACCTTGATCAGCGGAAGTGGGAGAAAGGCTCATTGACACACAGGTCATTCAATGAAGAAATCCCACAGTGGCTTAGATGTTCAGTAATTATGGTAGTGTGGTGGAATCTCCAGCTAGACTGGAGGGAGGGATTAAGAGAGTCCTTAGTTTAGAGTCTTTGCACTACAGTAAGCGACACAAGCTGGACTTCCACCAGAATACTTGAAGCGTTATCTATCCATTCCCAAGAATGCAATCAATCTAGCAAGATTCTCATAACATAGTTGACTAGCAATAAAACTACCATTGTGACTCTTCATTGGTTACTTTTGTCTGACCTTAATCTCGCCAGACTAACTATATTTACGTGGAAACGGCAAGATAAGGCTCCGAGGATTATGGTGGAGGTCAGCCTGTGCCACTTTCTGCAGTGCAAGGACTCTAAGCTTGGGCCCCTCTTAACTCCTCCCTCCTTTCTAGTTGGAGATTCCATCATGTGTAGAAAACTAACTCCATTGTCCCAAAAAGGAGGCACCACACAATCCCTTTTTATTTCTGATGTAATGTCGGTCTAAAGATGCACCAGTCAAGCTTTATGAGACCAAAGCATTGGATCACCTTCAGGGAGGATCCATGTCTGAAAGATGTCGGTTAGGGCATCCCCATCCGAGCTTCGATCGTGATGCCGTCTTGCAGATTTTGATTCCCTCTGCTATGGTCACTGCTGGAAACCATCTCATATTGTGAGGGATGTTGCATTTTTAGGCTGGAAGGCTGGAAGTGACAAAAACCATTCGCTGCTTGCGAAGGATGAGGTGGCTTGAATGCTGCTGCTGAGATAACTCAAGAATTCCTAGGAGAAATCCTCCTTCGTCACTTTGCTGCGAAGGTGTCATTTACTGTGACTTTGTCTTTAAATCTAACCCATGGAATAAGAGGAAAATACGGGCGCACCGGAGGGAACAAGCCAGTTTTTGGTAAATTGCCCCTTGAAAATTTCAGTGTCTTCCTCATTCCCTCGATAAATTCTGATTTATGAGGGCCTGGATGCAGGCGGACAGTTTCTGATTGGATGTACAGCCCTCTCGTCCAGAATTTAGTCCAGATCAACAGAAAATTATTTCTGAAGCTCCTGAGGTCATCCGTTTCAGTTACACCGCCCGCTTATGGAGAAGCTACTAAGGCCAGTGCATAAAGGGAAAGCTTCTTCGGTGCTTGCTCTTGAGTCGAACGTGCTCTTCTCCATCTCAATTCAATTCAAATCTTTATTGTCAGTGCGCAACATATGTACAATGAGATGGGTTGAGCTTCCTCAGTGCACTTCCCCCCACACACAACACAATACAGTGAAGACAGAAAACCCCCTAACCCAATAAATCATATTAACAAAACACCCAGTTCTATTGCAGCCGTGTGAACATGTTACCCGTTGCCCCGGCCCTGCAGTCCATCATACTACGTAGTTATGATGTTATTTTTCATTCAGGAGTCTGACAGCCCACAGATAAAAACTGTTCTTCGGTCTGTTTGTGTGGCTGGCTATACTTCTATATCTCCTTCCCGGTAGGGTAGGAGGGTAAAGAAGTGGTAACCAGGGTGAGAGTCGTCCCTGAGAATTTTCCTCACTCTTCTAAGGCAACGAACCCTCCCGATCTCATCTAGTGGTATCAGGGGACAGCCGATGATGTTTTGTGCTGTACTCACCACCCTCTGTAATGTTTTTTCTATCCATGGCTGACAGACCGGCATGCTATACCATGATGCAATAAGTGAGGATGCTTTCTATTGTGGACCGGTAAAAGGAGGTCATCAGTTCTCCTTCTCCTTCTCCTTCTCCTTCTCCTTCTCCTTCTCCTTCTCCTTCTCCTTCTCCTTTCTTCCTCTTCCCTCTCCTCCTCCTCCTCCTCCTCCTCCTCCTCCTCCTCCTCTTCCTCTTCCTCTTCCTCTTCCTTCCTCTTCTTCTTCCTTCTTCTCTTCTTCTTCTTCTTCTTTCTCTTCTTCTTCTTCTTCTTCTTCTTCTTCTTCTTCTTCTTCTTCTTCTTCCTCTTCTTCTCCTCCTCCTCCTCCTCTTCCTCCTCTTCCTCCTCTTCTTCTTCTTCTTCTTCTTCTTCTTCTTCTTCTTCTTCTTCTTCTTCTTCTTCTTCTTCTTCTTCTTCTTCTTCTTCTTCTTCTCCTCCTCCTCCTCCTCCTCTCCTCCTCCTCCTCTTCCTCTTCTTCATCTTCATCTTCTCCTCCTCCTCCTCCTCCTCCCCTCTTCTTCTTCTTCTCCTCTTCCTCTTCCTCTTCCTCTTCTTCTTCTTCCTCCTCCTCCTCCTCCTCCTCCTCCTCCTCCTCCTCCTCCTCTCCTCCTCCTCCTCCTCCTCCTCCTCCTCCTCCTCCTCCTCCTCTTCTTCTTCTTCTTCTTCTTCTTCTTCTTCTTCTTCTTCTTCTTCTTCTTCTTCTTTCTTCTTCTTCTTCTTCTTCTGTCATATCCATCCTCGGACGTTGGCAAACATGTTGGCGATCCTATTTTTATCAACAGCCAGACGAAAAAGTGCTGCTGAGTTTTGTCCAAACCGATCCCTTAGATTTTGAAGCCATGATGTTCTTCTTCTGCCTGGACCTCCTTTGCCTTCAACCTTTCCTTGGAGGGTTAAGTGAAGTAAACCGTATTTTTCTGGGTGTCGTATCCCATACCCAACATTTTCTAACTTTTGCTTTTTAATGGTTTTGAAGATTTCCCTTGACTTTCCAGGGGCGGCTTATCACCTCCTCATTTCCGATTTTGTCAACCCATCTTATACATAACAGCCGCCTGTAAATCCACATTTACAGTAGATCTGAGATCATCTACACCTCCCCAAATAACCTTTCCTCATGGGGGGGGGGAAAGCCTCTTGATGCTTTTTCGCCTCTGCTCTTCCCCACCTCACTTCCACAGGATCTGTCTTGTCTTGCCCCAGGCCTAATCACCAAGGAAGATGCAATCAAGCCTGTATTTTTTCCCCCCAGGCGCTCCAGGGGCAGGATCACCAGTGCGGTTCATAAAAGAGCTTCAGGATGAATGAAGTTGTGGAAGGTTCAGAGGCAGGGAGAGAAGAGAACAAGTAAAATCAGAAGCAGAATTGTGAGGGGGTGGTGGAAATCAGGACCTCGTGGAAGTTGATGGAAGCAGGGAGAAAGAAAGGGTGAAAAGCACTAATAGCTTGCTCCAGAAGCCCACAATAGGTAAGCGGGGTGGAAGATTTGGTCTTCAGCACATCAGGATAATGGCTTTGCCTGACGCAACTCGAAATGACAAGATAAAATGATTTGCCAGGTGCGCAGTATCTACGCTAGGGCAGCGACGTAGAACAAAGGCCTTTTCCACTCTTTCTGACTTTGCAGATGCATTCCCCTGGGCCAATTAGCATCTCATTTGCTTCCTTTGGTTCTCGTCGAAGAGAACATTTCTGTCTGTCTTGCATCCATGTTTCCCTGTCGAGCTCAACCCAGAGACGAGACAGTGAGATCCCATCGATTTCGATCCTTTATTTCTCACACCTGTTGTGACCCAGGCCCACGTAGTTGATATTAAATGCAAAACAGTTCCAAAAAACAAATAGAACCGGTAGTAACAAATTTTCCATTTCACCACTGGGTCAGGCGAACCGGTAGTGGCGACTGCAGGTGGGCCCGCCCCTGTCCACCCGCTCCAGCGTAATGCCATCCTATTTAGCCAGGTTTTCGAGGCCGGGCACCTGTGCGGAAGGCATGCACGCGTGTCGAACCAGTGGTAAGATTATGTGAAACCCACTTCTGATGGTTACCCTTGGAAGTTAGAGAGAAATATGTGTGTGTGAAGTTTTGAACTCATCGGTAGGAGAGACACGGATAAAAAGAGAAGACTTTTCATGATGGCCATCGAAGGGGTGAAGTTCAAGAGGTGAAGGTCAGTAATTGTAAGGCTACAAATACTGTTGAGAGAGATGGCTTCTCCATTTTTTTATTATTATTATTTTTTTGGGATGCTCCTCAATTTAGCAATTCAAAGAAGGTGGCAGAAACCTGGTTTCTGATAGCTGGCTTCTCATTACCGGGCAGATTTTCCTTAAATGGAAACATTTTCCACTTCAGCTGAAGTAATGAAAACCTCAGGAGCTCCTTGCTCAGTTCTGAGAGATGTCCTTTAACCGAGCTCCACTGGGAGAACCTTTAGAAGATGCTTCTAATAGTATATCAGCTCGGTTTCATCGCTTCCTCCTGTTTTTACTCCAGGCTATCAAATCTCCTGGGAGGTCTACAGCAGGAATGCATCTCGTCTGGCTCGGACTCTGGCTAACACAACCCTGGAGTACAAAATCACAGGCTTGTCATCTCTCACCACCTACACCATCGAAGTAGCAGCTCTGACAGCAAAGGGAACCGGCTTGGTCACTTCATCGACCATCTCATCCGGAGTTCCCCCAGGTTAGTCAAAGAAGCATTCGGGGAGGCTCAAGAAATACCAGGGTTGCATTTAATTGAGTTTAATGCCCAGGGACATTAAGGGACAGTGGTGGCTCAGTGGCTAAAATGCTGAGCTTGTCGATCGAAAGGTCGGCAGTTCAGCGGTTCGAATCCCTAGTGCCGCGTAACGGACTGAGCTCCCGTGACTTGTCCCAGCTTCTGCCAACCTAGCAGTTCGAAAGCACGTAAAAAATGCAAGTAGAAAAATAGGGACCACCTTTGGTGGGAAGGTAACAGCGTTCCATGAGCCTTTGGCGTTGAGTCATGCCGGCCATATGACCATGGAGACGTCTTTGGACAGCGCTAGCTCTTCGGCTTTGGAACGGAGATGAGCACCGCCCCCTAGAGTCAGGAACGACTAGCACATATGTGCGAGGGGAACCTTTACCTTTACCTTAATAATTGTTCAGGGACACAAAAACTACTTGGAAAATAAAAAATAAAATAAAATAGGGTGTAGAAATTTCCAGACAGTGAGGACAATTAACCAGTGGAAATAACTTGCCTCCAGAAGCTGTGGGTTCTCCATCACTGGAGGTTTTTATGAAGAGATTGGGCAACCGTTTGTCTGGACTGGTCTAGGGTTTCTTGCCTGAGCAGAGGGTTGGACTAGAAGACCTCCAAGGTGCCTTCCAACCCTGTTCTTCTACATTCTGTAGCAGTCTTTCCCCAACCTTAGCCACTTGAAGATGTGTGGACTTCAACTCCCAGAATTCCCCAGCCAGCATTGAACTCTGGGAGTTGAAGTCATCCCATTTTCAAGTGGCCAAAGTTGGGAAGCACTGTTTCGTATGGCGTAATTCTGATGTCAGCATTCCAGAAAACCCCAACTCCAATTAAAAACTCCGAGACATGCATCTTCTCAAAGTTCCCCATTTATTAGAGTGGCACATCTGGGAAAACCCGAATCTGAGAGTTCCAGGTTTTCCCTCAGAAAATCAACATCCCAAATCCAGTCCCTGCACCCCTCAGTCCATCACTTGGCCCAATATTTCATCCATCCCATCTCGAGCCACCACTTCAACCACTCCTCCTCCAGATGCAGGAGCACCCTGACCTTGACCGAAAAGAAGAATGCTATTATATCTAACTACAATCCCTCTGCTAAATCCCCCACTCCTATTCTCCCAAGCGCAAGAAGGTGGCAGTGTGGAATCTTCCGGCATTAATATCAGTGGTGGGTTCCTCCCGGTTCGGTCCGGTTCGGCCGAGCCGGTAGCGGTGACGATATGACGTCACCGAACCGGTTCTCCCCCCCCACCCTCCCCCCCACGTTATTCTTACCTTTTATTTGGCCCCACCCCCAATCTATTGCTGCCTCCTGAGTCCCAGCTGATGACTAGAGGGAAAAAAACTGTTTAAACTCTTGCCGCGGGGCGCCCTACAGCTGATCAGTGTTAAAAGCAAACAAATGAGTCGGGTCGTAAGTGCGAGGACCTTCCAGAAATGACTCTGACCAGCTAGCCACGCCCACCTAGTCACATGTCCTCCAAGCCACACCCACAAAATAAGCCACGCCCACAGAACCGGTAGTAAAAAAATTTAGAACCCACCCCTGGTTAATATGGCTTCCAAAGCTGATGGCTGATATGAAGGAGTGGCATCTGATGGGCTGCCCATTATGAAAAAAAAAATGGGATTTTTTTTTTCAAGGTTAATGGAAGCCTCTTTCCCCACTGACTTTAAAAAAGGGGTTGTAGAGAAAGCAGCTAATTTTGGGTGCTTTGCTGGCACCTACATCTGTAGAAGTGTCAAGAGGGACAAAAAATCGAGCAAGCTAGAAAAAGGGGAGCTAGAAAAAGAGATGGACGAATCTGGCTCGTTCCTCTTTTTTTCCTTCCCCATCCGAAAAAAAAAATAAATGAAAGGCCACCCAGCTTCAGATTCCCACTACATCTGATGCTTCATCCCCAAACGTCTTTTTGAGCCTCGCTCATTGTGCATACAAAGAGCAGGACTACAGCGTCACGGATTAATTATTTAGCATGACCTTTGAAATTACTTATGTTGAGATGGTGGCTTGCTAAGATATGAAAGGCTTTCCGACACCCATCGGAGATCACTTTTAATTCCAAAATCAATAATTGTGCAGCTGTCTAATTGAGAGGCATTATGCTGGATGAGAGGAGCTGGGATCTCCCTAGAGGCAAGGGATGGATCACTCTTTTGGAGAATGGATGTGAGGTTGGATGCAGTAGTGGGATTCAGCCGGTTTGGGCTGGTTGAACCCAAACTGGCTGAATCCCACGACGATTTGGGCCGGGCGAACCGGTTGTTAAATTGCTGGCTGGCCCCTCCCCTTCCCACCCCACAGGCCATGTTTTGGCTCCCAGTTAAGTGCAGGAGGCCAAGTGCTACCTGTCACACCCCCTGGCCATGCCTACCATGGACACGCCTACCCAGCCGGTCATTAGGGCAGAGAACCAGTTGTTAAATTATTTGAATCCCACCAGTAGTTGGATGGACTCTCAGGGTTCTGTTTATAGCCCAGACTTCCATTCTGTCTTGCAAAGTAGAGTGAGAAATCCCAGTGTTGAGCCATGGGTTTACTCGTCTGCTCTGCGTTCTTGATCTTTTCCTCTTTTTATTCCGCCTGCTGACTTCTGCAGAACTTCCCGGTGCACCTTCCAATTTGGTCATCTCAAACATCAGCCCTCGATCTGCAACTCTTCAGTTCCGGCCTGGATATGATGGCAAGACCTCTGTCTCTAAATGGATAGTGGAGGGCCAGGTATGTAAAAAAAAAAAAAAAAACCACTCCAGGGAAAGGGTACTGCAAAATCCCCATTCCCTCCCCACTCCTGGGGGAAGGATATTGCAAAATCTCCATTCCCACCCCACTCCAGGGGAAGGATACTGCAAAATCCCCATTCCCACCCCACTCCGGCGGAAGGATACTGCAAAATCCCCATTCCCACCCCACTCCAGGGGGAAGGATACTGCAAAATCCCCATTCCGTCCCCACTCCTGGGAGAAGGATATTGCAAAATCCCCATTCCCTCCCCACTCTGGGGCCAGCCAGAGGTGGTATTTGCCGGTTCTCCGAACTACTGAAAATTTCTGCTACCGGTTCTCTGAACTGCTCAAAATTTCCGCTACCGGTTCTCCAGAACCTGCTGGATTTCACCCCTGGATTAATGACACAAATGAATGTTTTGCCGAGGAAGCGTTCTGTGATCTTGACTGGACCGCTTTTTTTCTTCTTCTTCTTCAGCTACTGTTTCCCTCTCGCAATAGAGTACCACTTCTCTATAATAATGCTCGCGGAGTACACATTTCTGCTCTAAACTCAAGATATTAATGGTTGCCTATTATAATGCGGGACACAGATACTCACCGTTTCTCTGTGATGGTTGCAGAGGCCGTTCTCAAGAGGGAATACAGTGAAACACATCCGGTCGAGTTGAAACGGGCTGCAAAGACATATATTTATAACCAACGTATTTGGGATTTTATGAAGCTTACCCAATTGCTCCATCGTTCACATTTTTTATTAGTTTAATAATGTTTGGGGCTGGTGTTTTGGAATTTTAGTATATAATACATTTATTCCAACCGGAATAAATGCCATCAGCCCAAGCCTTTTTCTCTTTCATCCCTTGAAATCCGGACTCCTACTTGTCTATTGCCCCCCCCTTTTTTTAATGGCGCCCCACTGATATGCAATTTTTTAAAAAATTCCACTCGTATAGGCCTGCCAGCAGTTGGTTAACACTTCACACGTCTCTGTGTAACCCATAAAAGCTCATGTCAGAAGGAGGTCAACCCATGCCCTGCAGATGTTTTGCATGGCAAGGGCCCTTTTAACCTTAGTTTTGCTGGTAGGGTCATAGATAAAATGGCCGGCTCTCCAATGGAGCCTGAGGTTCTTTGCTCCTTTGTGTCTTTCATGTCAGCTTTCATTGTAGAAAAGAAAGTTCTCCCCTCTGAGTTCAGGGCGGGGGGTAAGGAAAGGAAAACGGACGCCTCAAGTGTTGGTTCAGCTTCTCCTCTTTGTTGTTGTTAGTTGCGAAGTCGTGTCCGACCCATCGCGACTCCATGGACAACGTTCCTCCAGGGCTTCCTGTCCTCTACCATCCTCTGGAGTCCATTTAAGCTCATGCTGACTGCTTCAGGGACTCCATCCAGCCACCTCCTTCTCTGCCGTCTCCTTCTTCTTTTGCCCTCCATCGTTCCCAGCATTAGGCTCTTCTCCAGTGAGTCCTTCCTTCTCATTAGGTGGCCAAAATATTTGAGTTTCCTCTTCAGGATCTGGCCTTCTAAAGAGCAGTCGGGGTTGATCTCCTCTAGGACTGACCGGTTGGATCGCCTTGCAGTCAAAGGGACTCGCAGCAGTCTTCTCCAGCACCAGAGTTCAAAGGCCTCCATTCTTTGACGCTCAGCCTTTCTTATGGACCAACTTTCACAGCCATACATTGCATCTGGGAAAACCATCGCCTTGACTATACACACTTTATGCCCTTCTTTACTTTTCTCTTTTTGGTTCAGTTGAAGATTTTCAGAAAGTTGCAAGGGTGTGGAATTGGAGTTTGGTCAAGGATGGCTCTCATAATGTGGTGTTTTTCAGACTTGACACCTTAAAGAGGTTTAATTCTAGGTGTTGGCTTCAACTCCTAGAATTCAAAAAACAAACAAACCATGCAAAGCTGGTTGGTGAATTCTGGGAGTTGAGGTGTTTTTTTCTTTAATGAAAAAAAAAAAAGAAATAGGGGTGACATGATAGGAGTGTTCCGATATTTGAGGGGCTGTTACAGAGAAGAGGGGGTCAACCTATTCTCCAAAGCACCTGAAGGCCAGACAAAAGAAGCAATGGATGGAAACTAATCAAGGAGAGAACTAAGCTAGAACTAAGGAGAAATTTCCTGACAGCGAGAACAATTAACCAGTGGAACGACTGGCCTCCAGAAGTTGTGAATGCTCCAACACTGGAGTCCTTCAAGAAGAGACTGGACAACCCTTTGTATGAAAGGGTTTCCTGCTTGAGCAGGGGGTTGGACTAGAAGCCCTCCAAGGTCCCTTCCAACTCCATTATTCCGTTATTCTATTAAGGCCACTGTTCTTCAAGGAGTCAGAGTTGAGGAAATATCTAGCTCTAATACCAGAAGGTGGAAATCGTCCTCTTCAAAGTCTCTGTGCTGCAATTAATTAGGTCTTCAAGTGCTGGAGAAGGGCAGCATATTGTACAATGTTTGATCTTGGAAACGGGTCCTCCCTCCAAGCTTGCGGAAGATTTATACCGTCTCCAGAGAAATCAGAGTATAAGCTTGCATCGGAGGAGAAGATCCTATTTTCCAAGAAATCTGTGCCTTTAATGATCAGCATAAAAGAGCCAAAGTGAGAATGTCTCCAGGCACAGCAGCTCTTTGGACGTCTTCAGGAGAAAGCGAGCCCCATGAAAACTGCACGAGGGGTAAGGGGTGGGGGGGCCGTCATTCAAAATCCAAGGAATTTATCTCCTTCTGGGTGGAGAAATCTGAGTTTAGCCTCTGTTATGGGAGTTTCTATGCTAAACAGATTATCAAGGGGATTAAATTACCGGGATCTGAAAAGCAGAACTGGATGGCTTGCCTTCCACAATGGGTTTTCAATCATTCACGTGCCCGATTCGGTGGTTAACGCTGGAGCCAGATAGCTTTGAAAATCCTTAGGTCTTTGAGAAATCCTCTTCGCCCCTCCGGCTCAGAAATATCCTTCTTGGTTTCTATCTTTCTGTTCTGCAGACAAAAACCATCCCTCTTATTTTCTTCTCTTCGTCCAATTGTGGTCCTTCCTTCCCATCTTCAGATCCCTGTAATTAGCATCTATGGGTACTACTTAGGTTTGATATGAAGTCTTGCAACTGTCTTCTGCTGGCTGTGTTGCCATGTTGCATGCAGATCCTCTGTATGAAGAAGAGTTACAGGAACTGGGCATGGCTACTGTAGTGAAGAGAAGGACCAGGGGAGACATGAGAGCAGCCTTCCAAATTTGAGGGGCTGCCACAGAGAATAGATTAGAATAACAGAGTTGGAAGGGACCTTGGAGGTCTTCTAGTCCAACCCCCTGCTTAGGCAGGAAACCCCACACCACTTTAGACAAATGGTTATCCAACATCTTCTTAAAAACTTCCAGTGTTGGAGCATTCACAGCTTCTGGAGGCAAGTTGTTCCTCTGATTCATTGTTCTAACTGTCAGGAAATTTCTCCTTAGTTCTAAGTTGCTTCTCTCCTTGATCAGTTTCCACCCATTGCTTCTTATCCTGCCTTCAGGTGCTTTGAAGAATAGTTTGGCTCCCTCTTCTTTGGGGCAGCCCCTGAGATATTGGAAGACTGCTCTCATGTCTCTCCTAGTCCATCTCTTCATTAAACTAGACATAAAGAAGAGGGAGTCAATCTATTCTCTAAAGCACCAGGCAAAACAAGAAACAGTGGATGGAAACGAATCAAGGAGAGAAGCAACCTGGAATGAAGGAGAAACTTCCTGACATTTTTTTAAAAAAAATTGATTTATATGCCGCCCTTCTCCGGAGACTCAGGGCGGCTTACAATGCGTTAAGCAATAGCCTTCATACTTCTGTATATTTATACAAAGTCAGCTTATTGCCTCCACAAACTGGGTCCTCAGTTTACCTACCTTAGAAAGGATGGAAGGCTGAGTCAACCTTGAGCCTGGTGAGATTCGAACTTACAGTAATTGCAGGCAGCTGGAGTTAAATTACAATGCATTAGTCACTGAGAACAACTAACCAGTAAAACAGTTTTCCTCCAGAACTCGTGGGTGCTCCAACACTAGAAGTTTTTAAGATGAGATGGGACAACCATTTGTCTGAAATGGTACCGATTTTTTTTTCCTGCCTGAGCAGGGGGTTGGACTAGAAGATCTCCAAGGTCCCTTCCATCTCTGCTCTTTTGTTAATTTTTGATAGTTGTAACCCAGGCTCTGCCTTCAGCCGCCGCCTCTGGAGTGAACCGCTTCAATTCTCTCCCTTCTTGTTTCACCTCTCTTATTGTACTTTGCAAAGTTTCATTTTTAGAGCTGCGTTTTTACTTTGCCATCCTGAATGGAGATGCCTGCAATATCCTTGGAAATTGTTTGTGGGTCACAGATTGAAAGCTTTTATTATGCTTCATTAGACAGGATCAAAATTGGCATCTGGGTGGGTGTTTGTTTTAAACACCAAAAAAAAAACAAACAAACAAACAAAGGGGATTTAAAAGAGTTTTTGTCCTAACAGTTCTAACAGCTTTGGGTAGGGCCGTCTGTTTAACTGCTAAAAAATAGGATTTTTGAAACGCAATATGAAAACGTATTTAATATCCTGTAATGTAAAGGATAAATGAAAATGCTCCTGCCATGATCCAGTGCTAATCTTCAATATATAACTCTCTCTGGGATTGTGCTCATTTTATGTTTTGTAGTCTGATGCAGATTTATGGGGACAATATGTGCAGCTTCTAAAGCTTAGAAAACAGGCTCGGTTGGTATCCCAAACTTCCCTTTTCATTTCAAGTATAATTAAAAATAAGCATTGGTTAAAAACAAAAAAACCTCTTCCAAATGCCAGCAGTCTAGTGAAAATTTTATAGGAGAACATCAAAATCTAGAGGGATTTGGGAGTGATGGGAGTGAAATGCGTGCATCAGAAAAGATGGTTGATCACTGAGGAGACATACCCACATATAAAATTTACTTCCTTCCCCTTAAAACCCTCTGAATTTTCAATCAGTACTAGATCCACCTTTCTATATCTGT